AGCAAGTGTAACCCATCAAACAGGTAATCATAAGTAGTTGAAATGCCAGCAGAAAATTTAACTGTTGCCAACAGGCATTTGCCATCATATTACTTGTATTCAAAACACGAAGTTGGCCCGGAATTCTTTTTCATATGGTCTGTTCACACTAGATTTATATCACTGTCTTGTCGACGCTGGTCCGTTCGTTACGTTCGCTAGGTAATGTGTTTGCAGTTTAACTTTGCACCACCGTATTGGTTCCTATTTCTACTTCCAGCAACTGCCACAGCAGTACAATCATTGACAGGGAAGTGCAGCCTCATGAATAGAGAGATTAAGAATCTAAGATGCACTTGACTTGAATGCAATCGTAGACAGCGCAGTCAGGTCAGACTCAGGAATCACACAGGTTGTGTATTGGATAATAAGAAGCAAAGAACCCGGATGTGTGCATGTGTATGTGCAAGTGCAAGTGCAACAAATGCGAGAGAAGCGCAAAAAAAGTAGGGATTCCACCCCTACACACGTCCACCCGACGCGTGTAGGGGTGGAATCTGAATCTCTCCATTAGGTCAACGCCCTGCACCAGCCTCGACTGCCTATAGGGACCCAACTGCCTACCGAGTCCTGCACCAGCCTCTAGACTGCCTATAGGGATCCGACTGCCCACTGAGTCCTGCACCAGCCTCTAGATTGTCTACACCCAACTGTCTACTGAGTCCTGTAACAGCCTCTAGACTGTCTATAGGGATCCGACTGTCTACTGAATCCTGTGCCAGCCTCTAGACTGCCTATAGGGACCCGAGTGCCTTCTGGGTCCTGCACCAGACTCTAGACTGCCTATAGGGACCCGACTGTCTACCGAGTCCTGCACCAGCCTCTAGACTGCCTATAGGTATCCGACTGCCTACTGAGTCCTTCACGAGCCTCTAGACTGTCTATAGGGACCCGATTGCCTACTGAGTTCTGCACCAGGGCACATGCCAATGTCGGCAGGCATGGGGCTGGACCAGTGAACAGCCTGCATTTACAGGTCTGGGATCGCACTGTACCAAGCAGGGAATAGTACAACACCAGAATTGTACTACTGTCGTGGACATGGAAATCCAGTCGGATGAACGGGGCCAGCGCCCTCGGCGCGTACGAGAACGTTGCATGCAGTGCACATGTTAATCCGATGCGACCAGCCTGCTGCAGCGCATAAATGAATGCGTGTAGATTTGCGTATGCTTACTCACAGCTGCATGGCGGTATTGGCCAGCGCTCTAGGGCCGCTAGACGTGCAACCGGATTTCCACGACAGTACTAGTACTCCCTGCTACCAAGAGTATAATCCTGGATTGTGAACTCTGGACTGTACCGGCAGCGTGCACCGGTGAGATGCCCAGTGTATGCAGGTCGAGGGCCCTACTCAGCCCTGCACTAGTGCACAGCTCAGTGCATGGACACAGGTCCATGGGCTCAGCAGCACCCTGTGCCAGTGAACAGCAGTCCCCGCACTGGACGCTAACTGGCTCACATCATCAGGAATTTAATCAGAAGGCCTGTTACTTCAAGAGTGCCAGCAACGTGAATCGGTTTAGCCTTGCAACTGGACCAGCGTGATCAAACATACCCATGGACTACAAAGGCAGAAAAGCATGCAATCTTTCCCGGGCAGGTGTGTGCATGTGTTTGATAACGATAAGGAAGGAAAGTTGATGCACTGAGCCCATAAAACATGTACGGAAGGACTGCATTTGCTGCAAGGGAAACCTGGACCGATCGGTGTGTACAAATGCAGCGCGGGGACTGTGGCACGAACCACTCAGCCTCACCGTCCCAGCCCAGTGCGTATCGGCTCTAGGGTTTCAAACCAACCGGGTACACGTGTACCTGGCACAACTCTTGCAACCGGGTCAGTTCCAGGTACATTGAATCTAGTGCGGCGATCGTACTTCGGGGGGTCTTAGGACTCCCCGATTGAGTCCCAACTTGTGCGGTGTTCTTTTTCCAAGCGGTCCAAGTACCGGTCCCTAACCGGGGCGCTGATCTGGCTCTGGAGCAGATGCTGAGGCCCTCTTTAGTCGAGCTTAACTTGTTTGGCCATCGTGCCAGTGTTTCCCTTCCGTATACGCGAAGTGAAGTATGAATCAGGCCTAACCCTCCTCCCCCGTCTTCCCTGCTGACCACGGAAAGACCTGATCCTTCCCGCTGACTGCAAGCCTCCCCCAGGAGACTCCTATATCATTAAATTTGTGAATGTGATCTGGTCCTGTACACCCCAACAGTTGGACCAGACTTACATGTATGTGTAATTACTAATAGTAGTGTGATAGTTCCAAGAAGGTTGACGACAGGGGAGGGACTGGAGCTGTGTAGTTCTAGCCTATCATACAGTGCCACTCAATGGAATCTGATCGAGTCAGTGTCACGCCACGCACTGCAAAAACTGGGATGGTGAACTGGTGCTGGGCGCAAAATTGACTGACAAACTAACTTGACTTACGCGATCGGATTTCATCATCAGTCGAGCGGCACAGTAGGCGACAGGACCATAGCCTTAGTGGGCGTTTGGGTAGGGTTTTTTTTACATATTTTTTTATTATTATTCACAAACCCAACTCGTAAAATAAATAATTATGTGGACAAAAACAAACAGCTACTGAGTAGGGGTTGTACTGGGCAGCAGTGATGGGGAGGTACCAGGGGCTCCACCGACCAAAGGTCTTGGCTTCAACGCCACGAGCACGCACCAGGAAAAAGGAAACAGGCATGTAAAGCAAAGCAGTGCAGACAACCCTGCCCATTCAAATGTACAGTAACCCCCCCCCCCCCCCCCCCCCCCACACACACACCCTTCTGCATGACAGCCGGGCTAGTAGCAGTGGCGACATACTACAGTCGTCGCCAAAAAAATCCGGCCAAAGCTATGCTAAGCTACCGGCATGCTGTGCGGTGCATGGGCCGTATGCAGTACGACTGAGCAGGCTAGGCAAGGGCTAGGCAGAGTGCAGCGCCGACTGCTCAGTGCTGTGCTGGTACTGACTGCGGTAAATGCACGCATACCACCATGAAGAACCGCCGCGCCGGTGAACGCGTACCATACCAGTGACACTGTATTCATGGCATTGGCAGGATTTTTTTGCGACAACTGTAGTAGATCTACTCTTGAGTATCCCCAAAATGGCTATGCCAGGGCCGTAGGACCGTGACCTAGTCTTTAGCCTAGGCCAAGTGGGATTGTTGACCCGGAAATGAGCACTACTAGTATTGACAAAACTGCACTACAATGTTTTGCACCAGTTGAGTGGGTCAACTGTTACTTTTTCGAAATAAGCCGGACCCGGGTGCTGCTACGGGTAGATACGGCCCTGCTAGCTATCATTGATTGGCTCGGCCTTATGCGCACCAACTCACCGTGAACCGCTTCGTCCGCTCTCTACCATGCAGTCACCCGTTCTTCTTCGGAGATATTTGAGGCTTTCGCTCAGGAGTCAGGAGTCAGGAGTCAGGGATCTGTCGTTGACACGCCACCGGAAATAGCAGGGTCGCTACGAGTACGGGTCGTTGTCCTCTTGTCCGCGATGTACAGTACTCATTACCGGCTACGGTGACAGGCCACTTCTTGGCCTTGTTCGGTTGTTGTCCGTCGAAGCCTCGACTCCCATAGCCGCGACTTCGGTGTCAAGAGCTCCACCATCGTCACCCTCACCGTCGGAGCAGAAGTTACAATGCTGCAGCTTGGCTGAGCTGAATGGAACTTACTTCCGTGTCCCTTTTCGCGCATAATTTGAAGTCCAGGACATGAATTCCCCACTACTATACTGCCCTCTACACCGCTTACCGATACAGGTAAGTACACAGTACAGCGACGACTTCGGTCAACGACGCAGCGAACAGCAGCCAGAACACCGAGCTGTTCTGCTTGCAAGCCTAGGCTTGTCGGAACTGACACGAACGTTCTGCGGCCGCCGGCACTGCACTGGGATGATCGATGCCAGGGAGTGCCGCCAAAACTCGGGGGGGGGGGGGGGCACCTCTTTGTGCGAAAAACTGACACAACCGGAATGAGTGTGGGATGGAGGTGCTGACCAGGGAGTCGTACATAATAATTATACGACTCCCTGGTGTTGACCAGGGAGTCGTAAAAGCCCTAGAGTAGAGGCTAGACGGTCTGGCTAGCTGGTGTTGACTGTTGTGGCAGCTAATGAGCCCAACCAGACGCAACTACGAGTTGTAGCGGAGGTGCGAATTCGGTCAAAGGGAGAGGTGAACAGATCGGTTGCACTTTTTAAAACGATTGTAGATCTACACGTTACCATGGTTACTGGAGTGGTGATAGAGATCGATGGGTGCGAAGTCAGAAACCAAGTGAGCTTTTGGAAGGAAACGAGCTTGTCGAGAGTAGTACTGCTTGTGTCTTGGAGTGTTGCTGGTGAACTGTTCGTGCTAGGTTTGCAGACGTGTAGATTTACCATGACTGACATGACTGTGCAGTGCTGGTAGTTCCGCCTGGATTTGCCTGTCGTGTGAATACCCCATAAGACGCGAGACATGCAGCTACAGAGGAGGTGTAGGACAGTATTCAGCTGATGGGTATCAGGGAGTAGTAAAATAAAATGTATTTTACTACACCCTGATGGGTATCCGTACTGAGGTGCGACGTTGGTGGTGTCACTGGTGTGACACTGTGAGGCTAATTAGTTAACCGGACATGAGGTGGGACACTGGGAGTCGAAGAACACAGCACAGACGCTAACTCGAGTCGGTAGACCACTACGAATCTAGCGCCTGAGTTCTTCGACTCCAGCCCCTTGTCCGGTCTGGGTCAACGACATCGAGTCCGTAGACTAGCGTTTTGTAGACTACAGTCGTGTATAGGGAGTCGTTGCTTCTGGGGTGACTCGTCGCTTTCCCGCCCAGCCATACTGTTGCCAGGGTAGTAGGGGTACCTGCGACTGCGTTGCCAGGCTCCACTGCTGCCAGTCCCACAGACACAAACAGTAACTACATCATTGGCCTGATATGAGGCCGAGTGCACTTGGGTGACATACATGACCTTATCATTATTTTCAAACAGAAGAGGAAAGTGTAAAATGAGAAGCTTGCAAATATGAAACTTTGATCAAGTGGTTTAGAGATGAAGAAGCCAGAGCATGAAAGTATCATGGAGACAATCTGCATGCATACATGTATACAGCATAAGACACTCGGCAGCATTACTTCAGCTCTGCTCCGCTGCAGAACGGAGAAACAGCGGCAAAGAAGAAACTTGGTTGAGTGACCAGCGGTATCGATATTGTCGAATTCCTTGCCAAGGTCACCGGTGGTACCAGCAACATGCACATTTTTGAAGAATGAAAATACAGTCATGCACTTTATTGCAAGCAGCAGAAGGAATGAAGGAAATATGCACGTAAACTTAATTAGAGGCATCGGCGCCTGTTCAATTTTATGCACTGATCGATGCCATGTGTGGCACTCAGGCCTGCAGGGGAGAGCGGGAGCTACCTCATGCACCCAGTACTATGCAGAAAAGGGATGCGGTGTAATACGAAACACATGTAAAATGATGGTACTGAAACGGTGGCGGATATTATTATGATGAAAGCAGTGCGGGCACACAACAAAATACTGAACGGTAGGGGGTTTCCCTTGATCGGCCATGCAGCAAATACGGCAATAGCATGATGAAGGGAATGGATCCATAAACCGGGTAAGGAGAGGGATAGTTTCACAGCACCTAAACTTTCTTCTTTCATTCACATTCTAACGTCGGATCAACATGAGCGTGCGTGGTGTATGCATGGCGTATCTTCTTAGCTCAGCCATAAGCTGTAAGTGGTCCATAACCAAAAAATGCGGAGAAACTAAAACAGAAAAAGAAGAAGAGGATGAGGAGGAAATTGAAACGGTCAAAATATTGAGAAAAATGGACGAAGAGAGCATGTACAAGAAGGTGAGAAGGCGAATAAGAAACTGAACAATGGTTGGATCGCTGAGGACGCTGGTAGCATATCGCTACTTGGGTACGGTGAAATCTACGCAGAGAGTACAGAGTGAGTATGGTGAAGTCTACGCATAGAGTAGGCAGTGAGTTAGACCTTGAAGTTATCATAGCCGTTGTCTTCAAGGCTAGAAAGATAGCCAGCAACAGCTGAATGGATGAACCGATACTGATCCTGGGGTCAAATACAAGAGCAGTGTGGACAGGAACAAGAGCAGCAGCAACAGCAGCAGCAGATGCAGCAGCAACACCAGTACAAGTTCATCGACGGCGTGGACAACATCAGCAGCCACGGTACCCGTAGCCAACACTACACAACATCAAGAAATGCAGTCCAGCATAATGAGTGTAACGTCCACGACTGGGGCTTTGTCAGCTTCTACATCTATGTGTTACATGATGTGGCCATATTGGCTCCACGGTCTGCACGTCATCATCACTTTCTACATAAACTTAGCCAGATGACAAAGAGATGATCATGATCACTTCCTACACAAACTAAGTCAGAATTGATCACACATGAGAACGAGTCATGCAGCAACTATCCGCGACTGCAACAAGATGATAAACAGTCAGAAAGTGCGATAATAGGGGACAAAAGCTTATTACTGGCTCAGCACGGTATCCGAGTTAAAACAAAGATGATCATGATCACTTTCTACACAAATACTCGTAATTAGAGTCATATTAGAAAAAAGATGTCACACCACTCTACAACCCACTAACCTCGGTGCAAACCATGTGCGGCCGCTGGGTTCTCATCGATTTGACTGTTTGGAAGACGTCGACCACATTCTCCAGCTTCATGCGCTCCAGGCTGCGATACAGGGCGATGAAGGCACCGCTGCGGCCACAGCCATCGCTGCAGGACACACATCACACATCTGTCTAGTGCATACCGGACCATCTCTATCTACAGGCTGAAACAGTTGTACCCATGTTATAACTGCCAACCGTTGCAAACCTGAGGTGGGGACAGTGACATACCTAGGTATGAAAATGTATACAAATGTAGCCGCAAGGCATGTGACTAATGCACTTTTGGGTGCCTATTACCACCCTCGATATCCGGACTGTCCATGCTAAATCGGGATGGGCGGCAGGTATGCCATATGCAGTACTCAACACAGATCGGCCATGTTGAAACATGTGACCATGACAACCTACTCACCTGCACTGCACAATGATCTTCTTGTTTCCAGTCTGCTGTTGGTTCTTGAGAAGGCGCTCGATGAGCTGCAGCACTGATCCAGGTGACGGCGGACATTTTTGCTCTTCCCAAGTCCGGTAGTGGAACAGGGTGATGGTGCGTACATTGTCCTCCTACGCACCGTCACACAGCAATAATTATGCCACATGTAAATAATTATAATGAGTGATTGAAGTGAAGAAATTATTAACCGTTATTATTACGCACACACTCATGGCCAAGGCCAATCAAGGAGGAGGTGAGGGCGATTATAGCCAGCCATGGCAAATACTTATGATGGTGCGCACATTGTCCTCCTACGAACAGTCACACAGCAATTAGGCCACATGTAAAAAAATAAAATTATATGAGTGATCCAAGTGAATACGTATATGTTATCGCATGGTTGCGAGGGCCTTATGGCATATTATTGCCCCGAGAGGTTAGCCCAAGGGCCGTAGGCCCGAGGGCTAACCTCGAGGGGCAATAATATGCCATAAGGCCCGCAGCAACCATGCGATAACAAATTTATCACATGGCCCACAGAGCAGACCATTGGGCTGCTGTTGAAACTAGCCCAAATGGCAACACATTATGACCACAATGTATATTGATGTGCTATCATTATCAAAACAGGAAAAATGAAGATATTTCTCCTACACCCTAACAAAAAGTCTGCTACAGGCCATCAGAGAGTATACAGTACTGAAAGACGGAGACAGAAAAAAAGTGCCGGCACCGCATCGTCATAGCAATAGACATGGCAACCACAATAAAATACAGCAGAATCATAATTTCAGTTGAAAATTTAAGAGTGCTACCACAAAGAGTTTCTTCATGTTTACATGTGTATCAGGAAGTTGTCAAATACAGTACTGCAACAAGTGCAAGTATTTGACGACTCCCTGGTGTGTAATTCTGAGGACAATTTTTCTTCTTTTTTTCATCTCCACATAGCTGTATTTTTCATTGCAAAACATCATGTCCTGAATTGTTGTGTTTGTTGTTCAAGCAAAGGGGAAGGCAGAGGACAGATGGGCCTGGTAAGAGTTTTGCGTGGCACACGAAGACCACACACAGGCAGTGACTTCGCGAGGATCTGAAAACGCACGACGCTGAGTTGAATTTGTGTTATTTCAAATAATTGTTTGTGATCACAGTACCACATCGAGCAGAACTGAATCTTATCCACAAGCTTACCGACGGTCAGGCTGCCAACATGACTGAACAAAATTAATGATCCCTGCAAGCACCACACGGCAGACGTCCGAGGCCATGTCCATTGCCGGGATGTCCATCTCCAAAAAGAATTCCATCTTCGTCTCAATGCTACACTGCGACTCGTCGTAGAGTCGTACAGTCGACAGAGTCGACTAGTCGTCGTAATCACGCGATCACTGAAATAAACTATTTTTTTGCGGGCAAATAAACTATTTTTTTGCGGGCAATATCGCATATTATTGCCCGCGGCGCGAAAGGTGCTGATTCGCTGGAGTACGGGCAACAATCACGTGCCATGTGATAAATACTTATTATGATGGTGTATACTTTGTCCTCGTGGGAACAGTCACACAGCAATTAGGTCACACGTAAATATCTGAATGATCCAAGTACAGAAATGTGAGAGAATAGCAGAAAGGCGTGCTCCGCATTACAAGTCCGTGCTAATAAAGCTGTAAATCCATGTGGCCAAAAAGGTTAAATCGCCCCCATCAGGTGTGAGCAGATGCCATCCGAGTGTCTCTCACCTTTTGCTTCGTATTGGTCACACTCAGTTTGATGATGCTGTAGTCGTCGTACTTCTCCTCGGACTCCACACTGGTCTCGAAGTGTCCATATGTGGCGGAGCCTGATTCGGGCCAGTAGCGGGCGCACATCTCCTGCACACACAGAAAGTCGGCAGGCATGCACGTGTATTACCAGTCTCTGATCTGAAGACATGCACACCCGTACATGTTTAGATAATGCCTTTAGTTACAAAACATAACGTGCTGTGAATGAAAATGGTGAACTCCAAAGGTGCCATTACAGGTGGAACACTAACTATGGCTTTAGTTGCATAAAGTGCTGTGAATGAAATGGTGAACTCCAAAGGTGCCATTACAGGTGGAATACCAAATCTCAACGGACTCAGTCGAATTGATTTTTCCGCATCCGAAGCATTTCCACCATCCTCGAGTTAAGCGTCAATGTACCGATGCAGCGCCAAAAGCGATGAGAGGTGAGTTGATCGGACCGACTACAAAGTGGCCGGAGACTGAAAGTTCCATTCACAACACTCTTATCTTAGGGCATGCGTTCCCAATTGACTGTGTGCCGCAGCATGGTTTGCAAATCCTTCCACTGCCAAGCAGGACTTTAGGATTGAACCTAAAGTGCTGGCAACTGAAATCCGACACCTGGGGTGGTGCACTCACACTGTAAGACCTAGTTACTAGTACGCTACGAAATAGAGACGGCTAGAATCGGTGCTGCACTCGAGCACGGAAATCAGTGGTCGGAATTCACTTGCCCGGCACCACTGTAGTATATATGTAATCGTATCGGTCCGAGTATACACACCTTGTCATGTTCCATCAGCTGTGTCAGGTTGACAATGCTGTGTGTGAAGTTCTCCCAGGCCATTGCCCAGAACTCGACGACAGTGCTGGTGAGTGGTCCCTGCGTAGCTATGAACACACCCTTGTTGTGTAGACCCTGCACAAGGCACACGCACACACCAGTAGGCAAGAGTCGTTCATTACCCATGCACAAACACATGTCATGCGTTGAAACATTCAATGATTCTTAGCACACGGAGAGACGAAGCCAGTTGAACATCTGATGAGGCCTTTCGTACCATTGCTTCTCAAATCAATAGACGGTGATAATGTGGTGAAGCACAACGAAAGGCCTCGTCAGATTTACAACTGGCTTCGTCTCCTTCTGTGCTAATATGTTTCCCTTCGACTAAGTCTTCTTTCAAAATCATTTCATGATTCCTAAACTATTCAGTCAACCACATCCCGCATACACTTGCAAACATTCATTCATACTCGTATTTGATCAGCCATGCCTCAGAGTCTCATACTCTTGCTTGATTCCATACTTTCATACCCCCCTCTATACTCCATGCCTACTTATGCAGGCGTGGGTTGGAACTCCCACGTCTGACGCCATGTCAAGTCTTGATTAGCATCGGAGAAGAATGATGAGAACCCAAGCAGCAGCCTTTAGATAGTCAACCTAGTACTCTAATTTCAGAAATTTTCGGTGCTCAATATTTTCGGTATGAGGGCAACAGGCTAGGTTAGGTAAACAGAAATTTTCGGTACAGAGAAGCAGTTCCCTATTGGATTATGTGTGTTAGTGTTTGTTCGGTGTATTGAAATTTTAGGTGTGAAACAGACGCACCGAAAGTACCGAAAATAAAAGTACACCGAAAATTTGTGAAATTACAGTATTCTGGTGCTAATGTACAGGTGTGGCAGTGAGAGTGAAGTGTGCAAGGTGAGACGCATGTAAATGTGAACATAACGCAAATGAGTCAAGGTGTAGGCAACTTGTAAGCACGATACGTTACACTAGCACCATGCACTCTTCTTACATCAACATAGCTGGCATTGACGTAGACAGGACCAGGTGGTACTGCGTCCTCAGGCTGGTTCTCAGCCAGGTCACTAGCTCCAACAATCACCACACGAGATGAATCGACTGCAGAACAAGTAACAACAACAATCACAACAACGGCAATGCCAACGACAACAACGTCGGCAACAACCACAACAACCACAACAACCACAACAACGACAACAACAAATGCGGCAGCGACAATGACAGGAGCAGCCACAGCAACAACAACACACACGATACACAGTGCATATGCAAGAAAAGAACACACACAAATGCACATCCACACACTGTACTGCAGCACAAATTTATTATGGGTGTAATACGCAAATGCGTGTAATATGCTAGGTTCGCCCTGGTTTCTGAGGCTACCTGCACTCAAAGACCATGACATCACCCTGGTTTCAGGGACCACCTGCACTCAAAGACCATGACATCACCCTGGTTTCAGGGAACACCTGCACTCAAAGACCATGACATCACCCTGGTTTCAGGGAACACCTGCACTCAAAGACCATGACATCACCCTGGTTTCAGGGAACACCTGCACTCAAAGACCATGACATCACCCTGGTTTCAGGGAACACCTGCACTCAAAGACCATGACATCACCCTGGTTTCAGGGAACACCTGCACTCAAAGACCATGACAGGTCAGTACCATGGGCAGTCACCCTGACACCGGGGGCATCACTTGCACTAAGTTAGCAGACTTACGTGGAAGTCTGTTCATGTCTCTGTTCCTTGATCGGTTCTCCTCGCGCATGCCTGCAGCACAGTTCTCCGGTGATGCATGGGGACTAATACTGGCCAATGTCTGCGGCATGGGAGGACACAGTGAAATAGTAGGACTATCAGCTTCTGTTGAGACTGCATGACATGTTAGCTCCAGGAGAATGCCAAGCCCCCCCCCCCCCATGTACAGACCTACTGTGTTCAAACACTATGTTATTGCTGCCATTGTATCCCAGAAGTCGGGGCAAGAAGACCGGGGATTCTATCAGGCCGATTGATGGCAACCGAGGTACCACATTCTCCACAGCCAGAGCCTGTTCAGCTTATTAGCGAACCCTGTTGGAGGCATTTCAGTTTGTATTCCTTTTGTACCTGACATGAGGCTGAACTCCCTTATTATAGGCACTCCTCTCTGCCCAGTACCCATCTGACCCCTCTGACTGAGATGCGAATGGACTTTCAACACAATACAGCACCGATAGTCATAGTTTGCGGGAATTGAAACCGGAAAAGTCGGAAACATGACTGCCACCACCAGAGCTTAAAACAGGGACCCTCTCCGAGGCTTTTGGCCAGTTAATGCTCTATCATTAACTTACATCGTGCGATTAAAATATTGATCTCGGCATGAAAAAGATTTTACTTGCATACCGGTACAAATAATATTATTGTATATTTCATTGCAGGGAAATCCCCAGTAGTTGCAGATAGTGCCTGGTCCCAAACGTGCCCAGAAAAGGAGCCTTCAACTTACTGCATGCAATATCAGTGTATGTTGGCTGATAGAAGCTTGCCCACACAATCATACACCACAACTCTATAAGCTGCAGGATCAATTTGGCACAATGTTCCATGAAGACAGTGATGCTCTGATCCGGAGGAAAGCCTGATGCCCCATATGCAGCTGTGTAAATCAGCTACCTGAGCCAGCTACCTGAATTATCTACTTAAATCAAGTACTTAATGTTAGTGCTGTACACCATACAGTGCATGCATGGGTCTTGTTGTACTCACGGATAAAAGCTGTGCAGCCATGGTCTCCTGCTTGCCGTCTTCCTGCTTGCCGAGACGTTTGATGCGAATGCGCAGGTCCTGTGGTTGGATTGCTGTTGAACCGCACAGGATCTCCTCAAGTACAGCATCGTGAATGAACATGTATTGGCTCTGCATGATTACGAAACAGCAAACATGAACTGACTCTGCGTGGTTGAGAAAGAGAAAAAAGTGTACGGATTCTGTGTATGGTTGAGAAGCAGAAAATGCAAATTGAACTGATTCTGTAAGGCTAGGAAATAGCGAACATCATCATGGTACTGGCTCTGTATGGTTGAGAAAGAGAGAACTGTTCCAATACGAAATTCCTCGGATAGGACGTGTTTTCCCATTGTGCCATTGGACACAAAATAATATTTTTGAGGGATTCTAGATTCTTCTCTTGTTGTTTTACCTTGAACGGAGAGTATCAGCATGCTGCACGGTCGAGATATACCGTATTTTACCGGTTGTAAGTCAACCCCAGTTATAGGTCGACCCTCGTATCCGGAGGTCTTAATTCTGCGTTTTAAAGCTTTCACCCAACGAAGCACTACTAACCACTCCCTTCTACTAACACAACAACAAATCATGTAAACATTCCTTAGTGGAGGGTATAACGTCCCAATCCTTGAAAAAGGCCAATAAACTGGCAAAAAATGTGTACATATGGTGCACCCGTGCATGCAGTGCAGGTCGTGTTTTATAAGATACTGATAGTTCCCGGTTATAAGTCGAATCCCGGTTGTAAGTTGACCCCCACCCTTTCTTCTCTATTTTTAGTCGTAAAAGGTCGACTTACAACCGGAAAAATACGGTACACTCTATCCGAGATCAAGTGACACTCACAGTGTGTGTGTGTGGGGGGGGGGGGGGGTGTGCTGGTGATGGGAAGCTGGATTGGGTAGGGGTATGCGTACATGCATCTCACAATGACTGCCAAAAGCACATGTCAAAGATATGCATGCATCTTGTATGCGTCCATCATTCAATTCATCATGCCGCTCAGAATCATTCTAAACCGGGTTCAGACCACTTCACATCAAAAGCAGTATTCTTCTACTCTTGATGTTCATCTGCCCTTGATGCAGTATTCATCTTCCCATGATTCTGAGGGTGAACCACTGATTGATGTGCACCTTGTCTTCCATGCAAGTGCATGTGTGTCCATAATCACGACCCTCTTCATTACAGGTTTAATCTGAATCGCTCTCCTCCCCTCCCTTCTTCTCCCCTCCCATCTCCCCTCCCGTCCGATCTCTTCTGCCTTCTCTCCCAGCTCTCCTCCCCTCCCCTCCCAGCTCTCCTCCTTTCCTCCCATCTCTCCTTTCCTCCCATCTCTCCTCACCTCCCATCTCTCCTCCCATCCCATCAAATCTCTCCTCCCTTGCCTTTCTCCTCCCCTCCCATCTCTCCTCCCCTTCCTTCTCCCCTCCCCTCCCATCTCTTCTCCCCTCCCCGCCCATCTCTCCTCCCCTCCCAGTTCTCCTCCCTCCCTCCCTCCCCTCTCTCCTCCTCTCCCATCTCCCCTTCTCTCCTATCTCTTTTCCCCTCTCCTCCCCTTTCTCCTCCCCTCCCATCTCCTCTCCCATCCCATCTCTTCTCCCCTCCCCTTCCATCTCTCCTCCACTCCCATTTCTCCTCCCCTCCCATCTCCCCTCCCCTCCCATCTCTTCTCCCCTCCCCTCCCATCTCTCCTCCACTCCCCTCCCATTTCTCCTCCCCTCCCTTACTATACAGCAGGTGTTCCAATCGTGACTATTGCATTCTCACCATTGTCTGCACCATCTGCTGTCGACGACAGCGCATGTCGTGTACGCACTTGTAGATATCAATGTCAGTTTCTGCTGCAACCCGGTCCAGTTGTGTGTCAATGGCGATCAGGGCACCCGTACGTCCTACTCCAGCACTGCATAGCGTCACACATGCAGGCAGCCATGCAGACATACAGGCACACCCATAGACAAAAAACAAACAAACAAACAAAAAACCACAGATGCACATTGTGACACATATGCAGACACACACAGACAAAATGCATGCACAAACACACGCACACGCATGCACACACGCACGTACACGTACACACAAACACATACACACACATACACACACAAACAAAATAACACACACACAGATCTCTTGTGAATAAGAGGTTGGTGCGACTTTGGCGATACTCAGGCATTTGTGTGTCGTGATCTCTTTGCTGGTAAAAACCCTCGCTACATTGACTCTGAATCACGAAATTTTTGGGCATGGCCCATCCTCAGGTAAACACAAGAACACTTGCAGAGTCGGATGGAGTATAGTATGCCGTACAAGGCTTGAAACTTGAACTGAGTCAGCCAAATTATCAGAAAACATGTCTGGCACCAGAGAGACTGCGGTCTCTCCACATGACCTCGATGAATTAGTACGATCTGAACAAGGCCACACGTGAACTAGCACCCTTGCCTCACCTGCAGTGGATAATGAGAGGAGCGTCGGGAGCAATGGACATCCATCGGCTGTGCTCCAGTCGCACACGCTTTAGAAATCCCAGGAGGCCCGTAGCAAACTTGGGTACATCGTGATCCGGCCAGGCAATGAAGTGGAAATGATATATTTGACGTATTTCATCGCCCTGAGCCGAGCACACCACAGAGGAACAACATGCAGGGGCGTCACACACGGTGCGAACAGTACGATCATGGTCGTACCACTTTCTGTCCAGGGTGGTCCACCCAATTCATCCAAAAAAGCAATAAAAGAGTGCTAAAACGTGCCCTGTTCAACAGTTGGACAAAAAATCCGAGCTTGTACTCCCGGGGGATACCACCCGGACCCCAATCATACCACTCCCCACTGCCCTGTGATGTCCTGGATATGGCATCAATAATATCCAGAGTTTCTGTAATCCCCCATTCCTTCCCCTCCCCCTGATCCAGGGTGAGCAAGTGTACACCGGCAGACTTTGCAGAAGATAATGTTACATAAGTCATCACAACAGTGGACGGTGAACAGTAGTGTGAGCGGCAGCGGACAAGAATAGCTCGCCACAACTCTGACTTTCCTCCACTCAGTACCCCTCATCACAAGGATGCAATTGGACAGCAAAACACGCCCACATAAGAACCAGCAGTGCGAATCTATCCGGTATGACCTTGCATATTGAACAGTGATGGATGACAAATTGGCAATCTATGCCAAGAGCGCACAGTTATTCAGTATACATCAGCATATGGAACAGCTCTGAGTGACAACTTTTAAAGGCAGAGGCGGATCCAGTTGGTGGTGGTGGTGGTGGTGGTGGTGGTGGTGGTGGTGGTGGTGGTTGTCGTGGCGGCGGCGGCGGTGGTGGGGTGGGGGTGGGGGGGGGTCAAACAGCCCCCCCCCCCCACCCCCCACCCCAAACTTTCCGACTATGTTCAGGTGTAACCACCAATCCCTGGCTGCACCCTTACCAGGCCAATCAACTTGTGCACACACTTACCTGCTCCATCTGGAACTGCAGAATGGTGTACTCAGCAAGGCTGGTCTTCTCCACCGGTGTGATCAAGATGTCACCGTATTGCTGTGCTTCGTCAGGCCAGTACTGCTCACACTTACGCTGCAACCAGAAACACAATACGCGGTTAGCACGGTTAGTACGGCATTGGCTACAAGACTTGTAAAATTCAAAGTCAAGTAAACTACTTTCCAACTGCATAACCCACAGCCCCATCCACAGCATCTCACCTTCTCATAAACTTTTCTCTTATTGGGCAATGGTGCCATCGTGAAAATACAGAACTCAAAAAAGACAAACCTCATTAATAGACAATGATCATAAATCCCCTGATGTCTGAAACGCATATACATTCACGTCCGGATAGTAGATAATACTCGCTATAAGACAAATAATTTCAACTCCCCGGGATTACATGTATCTACTAACGAGGGAAAACCTGTAGTGACATGGAAGTGTTGTGTTTAAAGCATGCTGCTGTCGAAATGACATTACAAATGGGTGAGATATCCGTTAGAATTTGAAACAGTTTCATTTTTACGAAAATGCAATTACTGTGTATGAGTGGTAGCAACCGTGGCAATAATTCTAAGACGGATTTTGCTCTCAACCAATGAGCTTGTGCCTTTCCTGCCGACTTGGGTTAACACTGGACTGACTCATGGCAGCCGCTCAGAATACGTACCTTGCCCATTTCCATCACACGAGTCAACATGACTATGATACGAGAGTTCTGAGTCCACACCATACGCCAGAAGTCATCCAGAGTGGTGGGCAGAGGTCCTGAGCAGTGCAAGACAGTCGACAAGGACAACGTCAGTTTGACATATGCCACCAGCAACGAGTCAACACCTACACTCAAATTGCCATACATACCTTGTTCATGCACCTACATGTAGGCACATACACATGCTAGTCCTAGTGCAATTATCATGGAACTGAATGGCAAGGAAGCACATATCAGTGATGGTGAGAGTGACAGAAATGTCTTGCACTGAACATGGAAACATCCAATCAACACATCAATATCATTAGCATGGTCAGGGATGCTGTCTCAGCTGCACAGGCCTGGTATATGAAATACTTGGCTACATTAGAATCTACTGCTACCAAAGATAGGTTCACGGAGTTCAACACACAGGCATACACACACACACACACACACGCACACACGTGCACACACACACACACACACACACACACACACACACACACACACACACACACACACACACACACACACACACACAGACACACACGCTTGCATGCTCTCTGGCTTCAATGAAATTAATTGTGCATAGACGGCGGTTTGCCTACCTTGGGTAGCAATGTACTTCTTGGGTTTCTTGTAACCCTAGAGGTAGAGCAAGAAAGCACATAATCCATCAAAACACTATATTTTGGGATGCACTTGGGCACTGCCAGGATAAACCAAGGGGCTGGTGTGTACGATGCTTACAGGGTGAAGTCCACTATGTTAGGTGTACATGATTTTCTTTCCAGATTCCCCAGTTCAGGGAATGGCCGTGCAAAGTGCAACTCTCTTTGTCTGCACACCTGCCCAGGCTCATACAAATCTGGTGTGGAGGAAAAGCCACTTCTGAAAGAATGGACAGATTTTATACAGTAATGTTTAGGGGATGTTAGGGTATGCAAGCGAGTGCTCCAGGTTCGAGTTCTGGTGGTGGCAGTCCATTTTTCTTCACTAATTTCCTCTCAATACTCCCTCAAACATATGAACGCTTTAGGCATAATAGTGGTTTATCAAGATAAATCTTTCTCAAAGTGTGAAAGCTTCATTGCAGCCATCCGGTTATCCTTGCATCGTCTTGTTCTTCAAATGGTCTCTAGGCTACACCCATTGAGATAAGAAACTGAAAGGAAGCGAGGAAAGATCAATTGTGGTCAAAAAGAGACTCCCACTATAGACTATTCAGAACTGACAGAAGCAGTTTTTGATTGGTCCGGCCATACCACAGTCTTTCATACAGTTTGTCTCTGCTAGGGCAGGTACACAGGACCTCCTCAGCAGTAAAGACGTGTTGGTCAACCGGACCAGTTGGTGCGGCCATGGCCGGACCAACTGGTCCGGTTCCGCCGGGCCTGCTATTTGAAACTGGCCAACAATCTTCAAACTTCAACCGACAGGGTACCTGAGGCAGTACGACAGTGGTCAGGTGCGTAGCCCGCATGGGGCACGGGGGCACGTGCACCCTCTAATAATTTCGACTTAGGTTCATTATGCACATTATGACCACGAATGATATGCACCAGCCATCCTACACATACATGCGTGCGCCTGTGCATCCCTCTAATTGGGGGACCGGCTACACCCCTGGCAGTGCGATCAATGGCCATCCACGATGGGAATTAACTGTATTGCGTGACAGATCCTTTCAATGTTCTTATCTTTACCTTTTCCCCAGTTTCAGTTTCTACCTGGACTCCTCCTTGGTTTCCTTTTCTCTCTAGCTCTTCTCTTGTGCCTTCTTGCTATTATTCACTTAATGTGCCAGTGGGGTGGTCAATGCCCTGGTAAGCACAATGTGTCCGACATAGTGACTATGCTACATCTACTTACATCCATGTAGGCAGCATTGATGTATGTGCTCTCTTCATCACCGTCAATCACAGGCAGGAACACCAGAGCTGGATCATCTGTGTGTGCACAGTGTATGCATGCATGCATGCACCGGCACACACACGCACACACGAATACATGCACGCACGCACACGCGCACACACACACACACACACACACACACACACACACACACACACACACACGCATGCCCACATACCACCCGCACGCTCGCATACCCACCACGTATGCATGCACGGATGCATTCATTCACAAAGCAACATGCACATATTCCACACAGAGACAAATGTGACAAGAACGTCTGAGGAGCGAAAGAAATCTACAGGATGCGACACAAGAGGAGAACGACTATTTACATACAGTAAAACCTGTCAAGCCAACCACTCGGATAAGCCAACCACTCGGAAAAGCCAACCACTCGGATAAGCCAACCACTCGGATAAGCCAACCACTCGGATAAGCCAACCACTCGGATAAGCCGACCACCTGTCCTCGAAGACCACTGAAACCAGCACCAAGGGATGCTATTTCCGGTCAAATGACCCTGGATAAGGAGACCACCTGGCATCAGAGACCACGTTTTGAAGGTCCCTTGAGCGGTCGTCTTAGACAGGTTTTACTGTATCTCCTTTACTGTAGAACCTCTCGTATCCCAGGCACCTCTATCTCCCTCAACTAACTGGATACACCGGTACGTACTGATACTACAGGCCAAGTGTTGACATTTCTTCCACTGGAACGACATTGATCTCGAGTGAGACCATTACATGATCTATGATCTATGATGTATGATGTATGATGTATGATGTCTGATCTATGATCTACTGTAAAAGCAGAAATTTTCGGTGGTGTAATATTTTCGGTATTCGCCAAAATCGGCGGTTCGGTAGCGGGAAATTTTCGGTAAAACCCGTTCTCCAGGTAGGTGTACTAGTACTACATGTATACAGTATCGGTTGTACCGAAAATTTCGGTGCGTTTTATTTTCGGTAAAAATTGTCGGCACCGAAGTTACCGAAAATAAAACACCACCGAAAATTTCTGCTTTTACAGTATGATCTATGACCTACCATATCTGTTACTATTGCTACAGTGTGCTGTAGCAGTAGCAGCGTTTATCCTAGTTTATTTGAATGAGTGTGAGATCGGGCACTGTTGGGGCCCGGGACGTCCAAATAAGAGACATCCAACTGTAGTGGAGTTCTAGATCATGCTGCAGGATGAGAAACCAAGACAGATTGACTATCGAAGTGGATCGCCACAACCAGCCTACTAATAAATTGTCACTGTTGTTTTGCTCTTACATCCGACAATGTTGCCATAGCGATTCTTCCTTGGATACTTGATGGAAATGGCTTTTGGTTGAGTTTTGCCAACTTCGGCCAGCGTCTGGGGAGCAGCAAAGAGGAAAGGAGGTTTGAATGCATCAGAAAAATAGGTGAGTGGGAGGTTCAATGGTTGGCTTGCTTCAAGTGGTGGATGGATGTGTAGATGCATGTAGATGAACGTATGTGTGAAGATGCACATTTAGATCGGGATGTATGGGAATGGAGTGAGGTGGATATACGGGTGAGTTTGACACTCGATCGGGTTTTGGACTCTGAGTGAATTCTCGTGTGATACACTGTACTTCTAATGTGCTAAAAGTAATGCAGGACCCGGCAATGAATAGGTATTGCAGCATGCTAATGTAAACAAAGAAGGCTATACTAGTGTGGGGAGATGACTGCGGAGAAGCACAACACGGATACAGTGCTGCTCAATCAGAAATCTGATCCCCGGGGGCTTGGGTCAGGTTTGCACCTTTCACCAGTTCACATCCCAGTGTTTGCAGCAGGTCTAGGGCTGCACAGCGCTGCCCGGCGTGGCACTGACTACTGCGATCAGATTTCACTGAGCACCACACGGTAGTCAGAAGTGGCTGGGACGGAAAATATTACCTTGAACTCAGTGCTGAATGCTGCGTTGTTGGTTGAGTGCATGGTTGACACATACTGCCGAAAGCCGCTAACTTTCACAGGATGCCCAACATCACTGGCTGCGTTGCCTGCCGCCACCGGCACATTAAATGTTGATGATGCTAACACACAAAAAGAAAATAAAGAAAATATGGCATTCTGGATTAACGAATTCATTCCACCTGCAGCACATGCGCTCTCTGGCCGACCTCATTCACACCTGCAACATGGCTCCAAGTCGCAGGTATTGGGTCGTTCTGGGTTAGATAGAATTATTACTGACCCTCTTCGGTCCTACCATAACCTTGAACCTTCCAAGCTGGAAGGCTGTCGGTTTGCGTAATGGAGATTTTTTAGAGCTAGGTGTCAGGTCAAAATTCTTCTGGTACTTCCCTCCTTGGATCGCAAATCATCGGAGTGTCTTTCTTACCCATTCCTTGTAAAAAAGGTTTGACTGTGCACACATAACATTATGCTAGCTCATACACATACCCACAACATCAGTCATGCCGCCACTCACATTCCACAGAGGTGCATCATATCCAATACCAAAGTAAATCTGTCCACCTGCCATGTCTGCAAAATGATGGGCTACACTAGAAGAAATTGGCTTGTCCAGGACATGAACACATAGGAAACCCGCCCCAGGGGTGGAGCAGAGCCCAGGCAATTACACACATACACATAATCTCGCTCAATACTATCCACATCGTCATCATCACAGCACTATTTGCAGACAGTTCCACCTTACCGTTGATCTGCCCAGGAGCCCCTGCCACCATCAGCATAATGGTCTGTGTCAGACTAGCTCCAGTACTCTCATCACTCTGTGAAATGCAGGTGTACTCTCCAGCATCCTCCTTACACGTGTTCTCAATCTGCAGTGCTCCTAAACAAACAACAGAGGGAAAGGGCATGAGCAAGACAAGGAAATTTCAAAAGATTACTGTAAAACTGGTAACTATTGCCACGTAAAAATGTTTGCGAATTTCGCGAGAGGCCCCGAATCGCAAACTTTGAACAACGCAAACTCGCGCCATGTAAAGTTAGTTCAGTGCAAGGACCGACTCGACTGTGTAGAACGACTGTAGAACGACTCGCAAACATTAAACAGCGCAAACCAGTCTCAATTTGTAAAACGCAAACATTTATTGTCGCAAACGTTACCCGTTTTACAGTATTCCACTAAAATTCCAATGCGTAACATACTTCGAAATACAAGAACATTCATGAACTTTCCTGAGCTGAAATGAAGTAGTGTCTCATGAGATCGTGGACCAGGTACTAGAAAGGCATGCGAGCATGAGCAACTCAGTAATATTATGATGTCCAGACAGCAGAGTTTGATTCCTCACGGCAAAATTCTAGGCTCAGAACTGTCTATGGATGAGCTAGATGTGTAGTGGTCTCTTATACAGGTAAGAACACTACAATGGATGCCGACGATTTACACCGTCAGTACACAATGAGACATGCCTATCCTGTATCTTCATTTCTAACAGCCATGGGAAAATGAAGGTAAAGTAATCAAGACCAACATTGCATGCCTGATAGACCGCAGAGGAGCACTGGAAGAAGACCAACATGACTAGTGTGGCATGAATAATATAATATGCCACAAGGGGATGGAAATGACGCCTGTGCGGGCACTTGCAAAGCAACGTAATAAAGCACACACAGACATGCACACAGACACACATACACACGCGAGCGCGCGCACCTATCTGCTATTTTTCAAATGCCGTACGAGTTCACGCACAGTGCAGACCAGCTAGAATAGCACCCAGTTGTGTTTGCAATCAACCTTTCCACGACACATCATCGCACTATCCATGATGCACAATCACACTATCCACGCCATTCCGTAACCCTAGTATCTATGACACTGTGTGACACAATCACACCATTCATACACAATCACACTTTCCATGCACAATCACACTATCCACGAACAGCTAGCACCATCAGGCGTCAAGTTGTCAAACATCATTGATGAAAAGTGACGGTATGTTAAGCCTTGCACATCACTTTCTTTTTACACCCACGATTTTCTGTGACGCATATGATCACAGTGTGACCAGTACATGCATACTAGAGACAATAGTAACACATCTATGCTGTCATATCTAGAGCACACAGTGCACAATGCTGGTGGTCAGAATCCAAGCGTCACACACAAGACACAGCAGTATCAGCAGTGCTGAGAATGTAAGTCGTCAGATACAGCACCTTCAGTGCAGAGAAGATAGTATTGCATTATCGAACATGTATTCTCAAGTCTCATCCTCACCCCGGTGTCTATACTACCGTGAAAGGCAGCATTCGGGCTCTGTTATTATAGTGTTTCAACAAGTGCATGCAGAGTTCTTTTAAAAGCTCATGGTCATGTCGCATCCCTGGCTCAGAGTGACCGGACCCCGAAATCACTACGAGCGGCGACCGAATATAGACGTGTGGCCTCACGACAAGCCCAACACAACCCAGGGGCCAACCAATATAGCTGGCTTGGTCCAAGTTCAACCCCACACGATCAACAGACAAAGACTGTTAGTTTTACGTTGTGAGTAGTATCAAATCCGAGCTCAAAGTAAACGAAGACAGAGAGCTGAGACCGAGTCTCGACTGCTAGACTAGACTAGACTAGACTAGACTAGACTAGAACTGAAGTAAAAGAGAGAATGAGAGCTTCTTTATAGGGTGCTTCAGAGATATAATGGCGTGATCATGGCGAGGTAATTCCAGGAAATAGCAGAACAAGTCAAACCGGAATGTGCGCAGCCAGTCAGCAGAAATGCAGAATATACGTACGGTGATCATTCGAGAAGAAAGAGAAAGAAAGACATCGAGAGAAGAAAGACCAAATTGGGACGTGGGGAGCCCGCTCACTCACGTCAGAGTACAATGTGAGTATATGAGGGTCACGTTGGGGAGCCCGCTCACCCAACGTGCCATAGTTCAGCGGCTTCTTATGGTACATGGTAAGTCCTGCTGCATTCTTGGTCTTGCTTGCGTGATACTCTGACCTCTTGCGCGGTGACGGTTTTGGTTCTTGCACACGTCTCCTGCCTTGCACCTAGCTCTTGATATACAATGATTGTCATATTAGTCTTGGCTCTTTGCACGAAGCACCGAGGCATCGTGGAAACCTGTAGAACGTCGTAGTGACGTGGTTTTGCACAAAGCCTGGGGTCACATTTCCAGGAAGTGAAGAACTTCCAGGAAACGTACAACGCGAGAACCTACCTGACCAGGTTCCGGCCTTGGATCACATGGTGTGTCATGCCAAGAAGGCATGTCACCTACGTGGGAAAGCGCGTGTCGCTCAACCTACATGCTAAGCACGTGGGACAAGACACTGGCCAAACCACGTTGTACTAAAAGGGCGTGACAGCTCAGCACAGAGCTGCTCACTATGTAGATCCTGCTATCACAGGACTATCAGGCAGCAGTTGTCTTATTCTGGGACGTGACATTTCCCCCGCCGTTGAAGAATCACGTCCCCGTGACTATCCTCGACCGATATGGTAGTCGGTGAGATACCGCGACGTTGCCAGTGTCATCCACCAGGCTCCGCGACGGATACAAGAGGTAAGTCAACTGGAGATGCAGGATGCAAGTCCAATCCACCACAGGTTTTGGTGCGAACACCATGTCATCAGCCGAATACAGCATATCACTCGTATCGGGCTCATACGACTGAACAATATCACTGACTGCTCACGAGAAAATACAATTCCTCGCCAGGTGCCAGGCACATAAAGCATTCACTCAATCCGATGGTGCTACACAGTTGTGAAACCAGATCGGTAAGAGCTCGTAGTAAAATCCATCCGGTAACGAGCAAATTGGGACCTCACTCGCAACAACTCATCATCCCCAGATGAGTCTCGCCTACCAGGCTCCTCGACACAGGGCGTCCCCTGATCAGCCAACACTGTGCTCGAGGGATCCAGATCCTAATCATCCTCTCCCACCACAGCCTTTCCACTTCACTCTTCAGTTCTAGGACCTCGTCCTATATGAAGCGCAGACCATACTTCTTCGGCCCCAGGAATCCCATCCTGGCCTGTATGGTCACCACCGTCCCCTTCTCCGTTGCTCACTACGCAAGCTCATCACCACCAACCGAAATTGGCTACAACTGACCGATCCGGGCGCCTCATCCACAGAGACCAACTGACTCCTCTGAGCCGTACACAACCCGAACCGGTGCACAGTTCAGTCATTTGTTGAGGATGCAAAGGCACCCATCAACATCACACTTTCACAGGACACAGTTCCTTCTGCAGGAAACTGGTCAACTTTCACCAAGCACAAGGACCGCGAAGAGTAACGAGTATACACTCCAGCACAGACTAGTAGGTCATGTACTGTCCGGCCATTCTCTCCACAAACTTTTTTTCACAAACAGAACGTCTGGAGAATGAAGATCGACAACAAGGTCAGAACTCGCCATCCTCGCGACATGATCGTCAAGAGCATTCGCAGATAAAACTGCTTCCACCAGCACCAAAGCTGGGCGTCACAAATCTTCGTCTGGTGCATCGACACGCAGAACGAGATTTGAATTCGTCCACGACCAGCGACGTGGTCTGGGCCTTCCATCGTTTCAGCCATGAAACAACCGGGTCTTCAAACAGCACTCGCCATTGGGCGACTGAGAACAAACTGAGTGCAAACGTCAGTAAGGCCTCATTGTTGAAGAGACGACTTGTCAAGCTTCAAGAGCTTCAAGCGGTCTCAACAAACACCATGTCCGAACAGTGGCGTTTTCTTGTCGAAACTAGAAAACTGCACTGCACTACTCCGTGATCCAGTCGTAGTGACTACTTTCACAACGCTCCGTAAAGAGGACCCAAGCCCTGTTTACGGCTCATGTGCGTACACATGGTACACGGGTTCACGAACCCTTCCATATCTGAACCTGACTGTGACAAACGCGCACTGCACTCGTACTTGAGAACTGCATGAATGCAAACAACTCCTCGATCGATCGTGCAACTGACAATAAATTTCGCACCTTGGTGTCCGCCATGTAGTCCGCAGCAAAGCAAGCTCGTCGTGCACTACGAACTCGCACTGCATGCAGCGCTACAGGAACACGAGATACGGAACGAAAGCCAGTGCTGGATACGAAAGAGAAACGCACTCGGAGTTTTCTTCGTACCAAGTTGGAGCGTCCAACACTGCTGTTGCTCTGCCACGTCTATCGCCAAGAACCTGCCATCAGAGACAAGGTTGTTCACGAAAGACTGCTGTGGACATTGCGTCGTTGCAGTTACGGAGTGAGGAGAACTTAGACCATCCTGGTCACAGCACCAAATGTCGCATCCCTGGCTCAGAGTGACCGGACCCCGAAATCACTACGAGCGGCGACCGAATATAGACGTGTGGCCTCACGACAAGCCCAACACAACCCAGGGGCCAACCAATATAGCTGGCTTGGTCCAAGTTCAACCCCACACGATCAACAGACAAAGACTGTTAGTTTTACGTTGTGAGTAGTATCAAATCCGAGCTCAAAGTAAACGAAGACAGAGAGCTGAGACCGAGTCTCGACTGCTAGACTAGACTAGACTAGACTAGACTAGACTAGAACTGAAGTAAAAGAGAGAATGAGAGCTTCTTTATAGGGTGCTTCAGAGATATAATGGCGTGATCATGGCGAGGTAATTCCAGGAAATAGCAGAACAAGTCAAACCGGAATGTGCGCAGCCAGTCAGCAGAAATGCAGAATATACGTACGGTGATCATTCGAGAAGAAAGAGAAAGAAAGACATCGAGAGAAGAAAGACCAAATTGGGACGTGGGGAGCCCGCTCACTCACGTCAGAGTACAATGTGAGTATATGAGGGTCACGTTGGGGAGCCCGCTCACCCAACGTGCCATAGTTCAGCGGCTTCTTATGGTACATGGTAAGTCCTGCTGCATTCTTGGTCTTGCTTGCGTGATACTCTGACCTCTTGCGCGGTGACGGTTTTGGTTCTTGCACACGTCTCCTGCCTTGCACCTAGCTCTTGATATACAATGATTGTCATATTAGTCTTGGCTCTTTGCACGAAGCACCGAGGCATCGTGGAAACCTGTAGAACGTCGTAGTGACGTGGTTTTGCACAAAGCCTGGGGTCACATTTCCAGGAAGTGAAGAACTTCCAGGAAACGTACAACGCGAGAACCTACCTGACCAGGTTCCGGCCTTGGATCACATGGTGTGTCATGCCAAGAAGGCATGTCACCTACGTGGGAAAGCGCGTGTCGCTCAACCTACATGCTAAGCACGTGGGACAAGACACTGGCCAAACCACGTTGTACTAAAAGGGCGTGACAGCTCAGCACAGAGCTGCTCACTATGTAGATCCTGCTATCACAGGACTATCAGGCAGCAGTTGTCTTATTCTGGGACGTGACAGTCACGTTCAGTCTGTGGTCTTAGTGCTCTGAGAAGCCGGTGTGGCGTAGTGCAGTGCAGGGTTTAACCTATGAACTACAGCTCTCCACATGCAGCAGTGGTGGCCCAAGTGATTAACTTGGATGCTAGTTTTTAGGATATTCCAACGTCAGTTCTATCCGGGATAGATCGGCTGCACAGCGTCTGTGTCACGACACTGGCATCTTTCCAGGTAAGACTCATACTGTAGTTTGGTTGGTTGATTTTACATCTAGTTGATGAACAAACACATTTTTATCAACCTTCACATCACAACTGCACTCTCCAGCCCATCTCTGGACCTCTCTGCTGGTTGATAAATAATCTGTACAAGGCCGAATGCTGCAGCTCACTCTTGTCACGTATGCCGCTCAGCCTGGCGTGCCTTGACCGAGTTTCGCCTTTGGTCGTATTGTCGAGTGCTGGTCTGGGTCCTACCTACCACTGCCTGCGGCTGTGGCTCACAAAGATGTCTCTACTTGACAAAGACAAGGTTTGAAAATTTAAAAAAATTCTCATTTTCTTACGTGCTCAGCTGCACTAACAAACTGGCCCGCGCTCAAGGGGATAACACGCACATTGTGTGGATATAGAGCATAGAACTAGGATCAAAGTGCAGATCTAGCATAGCATAACCATAGCCCAGGGTGGTGGTTGGCCTTGATTCTAGAGGGTGGTGGTGTGTCTGCGGATGCGGGAAACTCAGTCAAACAGAGTCTCATGATGTGCAAGCCGCGGATTCCTTTTATAGTATAGGCTAAGCATAACAAGAATAATCAAGGCTTGTTTGCTGCTACTTCAAGTTTTATGCTCTTGCAATCATCAGGCAACGTAAGGATGGGGTGCCGACCATGTCGGTATATATGCCAGGAGAGGGTGGGCCTTGTAGCGCTGTATGAAAAGCTGTGTGAGGATGCGGGGGCTCTATAGGTTTCAGGGCTAAGCATAGACTAAGCTAAAGGGAAGAGCATCGCTAGCCTATGATGAAAGTTCCTTGGTAAAATCCAGGTGGTGGCGGTCTATTTTTTCATGAAACCGTTTCCTTTACATGTACGAGTACTAGTTCCTTAACCTGATTAGATTGATATGTACCTGTGCCATTATTGGTACCATCACTGGAGTCTGGTGGTTGGTAAGTGAAACTCTGCAAGAAGAATGACTTTTCTTATAAAAAGGAAAAGAAACTAAAACTGTGCTCAATTCCTAATGTCCAGAGCTCATTCTGTCAGAAAGGCTGTCAGTGATACAGTCTAAACAAACGCAGGGAGGTTCCAGGCTGTCCAGTGGAGTACTCAATGCCGAGGGGATACAATCTGCAAAAGGAGAGCAGGATATTTGTCGTTATTCCGCCGTGCATACATATGGATCGGATTTTCGGTCTTTGACCACTTTGGTGGGCTGATCTACTCACCTCCCACCGCTTTAAGAGCTGCATCTGCGCCTTTGATCCTTGAAGGGTGGTGGCATTCCTACGGATGCTGAAAACCCAGTCTAGCTGGGTCTCACGCGAACAGTGACTTTTTAAAGACATCTGGTAAACATTTGAAGCTCTCTTCCGGATACCGCTTACTTCCATTTATCTGGTGCGTCCCGAGCGTGACGATGTCGAGACCAGTTGGTCGACGAAGCGCCTGGCCCCCACCACCATGGCTACTGCATGTTCCCATTGCGTGCACCACATGGCTTTTAGTAAAAAATATGCTCGCTTGCTCACTCACCATTGTCCATGATCCGGTATCGCTCTCCACCGGCGGCGTGACAATCAATGTTCTTATTACCTCTCCTCCATGCAACACTCTCCAGTGGGTTGTCGACTTTGAGCTCGCACGGCAGCGTGGCCACCTCTCCCAGACCTGCGTTGACTGTGGTGGCATCTGTCAGGCTACACTCGTTCTCCATCACCACAAGGCCAGCGACTGGCAGAGCAAAGGAAACACGCAGACAGACCGAAACACAACATGCATGCGCACATGCACAGACACAAGTAAAGACATACAGACACAGACACATAAAATGGCAGACACACATGTCATTAAGGTACCTTAGCACATTCTTTGTGATTTTTGTAATAAATTTTCTTATTGTTTGAGGATTCCCCAAAGGCTTTCGCCGATCGAGGGGGTTTCCAAACTTTCCATAAATTCTTTAAGCCATTGTACATCATTGGTGTTGGTGAAGCGGTGGTACAGTGTTCTAGTGGTACAGTGTTCTAGTGGTACAGTGTTCTAGTGGTACAGTGTTCTAGTGGTACAGTGTTCTAGTGGTACAGTGATGTAGCAGACGCACTGGAGGGTATATTTATTTATCCTTTTTTTTTTACGAACTTCCATACTCTAATCCTCCTGTGATAATTATGCTGAATAGAGGAATGTCATGGTGGTGGGGCTGAGCACACTTTGTCCGGATCTGAGGTCTCGACATTGATGTATGCTCAGTGCACCAAGTGAAGGGGGAAAGAAGTGAAGAGAGAAAAGAACTGGTAGTACAAGACCTTGCACAAAGTCCGAATATTTTTTATGAGAGTAGTGCTGCTGGTTTTCATAACACTGAGGTGTGATTCAACTCACATGAGCCTGTGTCGTTGCCTCCGCGTGTAGTGTGCAACTGCACTGAGTCAATCTTCACCGACAGAGACTTGGGGAACGCCATGCTTGCCTTGGACCTCCTGCTCAGCACAATCACAATAACAACACAGAGCAGACACCATTAAAACACGAAACAGTCACCATAGCAACACAGACCCGTAACTAGAACAACAGAAAGGAACGAAATGATCAGATTTCGCCTTCATACTTTTAAGATCAAATTCACGTTGGGATTCGATATTGGGAAAAGTTGGCTATGCGGGATAATGGCAAACTGGCAAAATAACAAACTTTAGTCACCCTTCATGGACTAAAGAGAGTCTGTGATTTTGTAATGCTAGGTCCCTATGGTTGCTGATGGTATACCGAACCTGCTCTGGACATGTATAGTATTCAAGTCTTTACATCTTTCAGTGTCTTTCTTTCAGGTTCAGATTCCATCATGTAGTACACCGTCTCTCCCCCCCCCCCCCTTCCCCCTCCTTGTCCCCCACCCCCTCCTTGTCCCCTACCCTGCTCAGATATTGATGCAGCAAGATATGTTTTTCGGATGGTGAGCCAATTAAAATACGGTGAAAAAAGGAGAAGGACAACATGTTGGTTGTTGGTTTGCGCCTTGGAGAAGTGTTGGAGCTAGGTACCAGGTCGCCAAATGTCTCAGTGCTCCTTGTCAGTTTTGTGCCATTTTGTCGCATTTGCTGACTGTATAAGATCTGGTTACGTTGGTGGACAGTTAGTCATAACTCGTAACATTTTGCCCTTCTCCTTTTTCACCAAGATATTTTTTACAAGGACAGGAAGGATATACATGTAGACTTGCCTTTTGTGTCGGATGAGGAGAATAATCAGAAGTACAATGATGAAGAGAAACGCAGCACCAGCAGCTGCAGCGATGATGACTACCGAACTGGATTCACCTGCAACACCCAGAAATAAATGAGATGCCGGGGATCGGAGAGAATTATCATGCACAAGTGAAGCTTGCTTTGCTAGCAGATGGGTTGATATTAGTCTGGGTTAGGGTTAGAGTTAATGATTGTATTTTTTTTACAAAAAGCACTCTTTGCATGATTGACAATTAGAGTGGGTGGGACCTGTGAAGCCCAGCCAACCTGGAGGTTTCGGCATCATGGCTTGCCAGAGTAGAGAGAAAAAGAAAGAAAAGAACAAAAGAAAAAAGAAAAGGAAAAATTGGTATCAAACAGGATTTCATTCAGGGCCAGGGGTACGACTGAGTGTATTAGGAGAGACCATGGTTGCCTAGTGTACCAGGAGAGACCACGGTTGCCTAACACGAGAATGGATAAAGAACACTAGAGGGGTATACGTCGTTATCGTATTCTCGTGAAAAGCAGAGTGCCGGATTCAACTTGGAACTTTCTAAAACTTAGAGCTTCCTATTTATTCTCTACTATGTTGTACTAGTATGTAGCAGTACTCGGAAGTACAATAGTGTTTATATGGTGGCTGATTGAGTAGACTGTGTTATAGAAGAGAGAAAGAGAGAGAGAGAGAGATTGGTAGAAGAATGCAAATTTGGCTAGAGAAGCACTGCAGTCCAAAATATGCTCTTGGAAAACCTGATCCACAACGGTGTGACCAGTGGCTGAAGTGGCAAAGTCGATTGCGCCTTCCACTGAAGACTGTCAGTCAGTCAGTCACTGAAACGTGTACATAATCAGTATTCAGTAAGCATTGGCTTTGCCTTATTGCCATTGCTCATCACTGTATTTACAGTCAGTTGTGCTAACTGAAATCCGACCCGAAGTCACGGCAAAGCTGGCGCCCTGGACCAGTTCCGATTACATTACTACAGTGAAACTTGTCAAGGCCACCACTCGGATAAGGTGACCACCTGTTAACTGAGAAGATCACTGGAACCAGCACCAAGGGATGCTATTTCCAGTCAATCGACCCTGGATAAGGAGACCACCTGGTAACAGAGACCACATTTTGAAGGTCTCTTGAGCGGTCGTCTCAGACAGGTTTCACCGTATACTTGAATATGTGTACGACTAGCCGCTTCATACCACTTCCTGGGCGTCAAAAGCCGTGCAAGTTCAGGGCGCCAAATATGTACTTTGGGTCGGATTTCAAGGAGCACAACTGTACTACCCCGGATTCCCGTACTCTAAAAACCATTCGTCACGGAAGTAACATGGAACACTGAGCCAATACTGTAATCATGCACAAACAACCAAGCAACAACAACAGCCTGAAGAGTTTATTCCGCCAAAATACCGCGTGCAGCAAATGGGGCATGCTCAGAACAAGACACATGCATGGCGCACAGCTCCAGTCTTGCTCAATGAAATCCAGTCACGTCGTCACTGAAGCCTGCGCCTTGCACCATTTCTAAGCCCAGTGCTCACAGGGCTAGGACTGCGCAATGCCCGGTGCGTACTTGAGTGACGCTGTGACTGGATTTCATTGAGCAGAACTGTGCATGTGATGTAGCGTCATGATAGCACTTGCAATATTCTACAATCACTTACCAGTAACGGGTTCTGGCAGGCGAATGGTTGTCGCATTGCCAAAGTTGTCTATGTCGACAGTGCCCGGGCTCAGCCAGACGTTGCCACTGAAATTGACCATTGCTACCACGTCAAATGCGTAGTTCTTTCCGGTGGGGAGGTTTTGGATACGCCCCGTTGTTTCCTGTCCACCTACATCCTGCATTTGCAGAACAGTTTACCGAGAAAGAAACACGAACAAACAATCAGTACCGGCTCTGCAATCAGGACCAATCAGGGCAGCTCAACTGGAGCAATAAGCATTTCAGAGTTCTAGTAAAGGAATGTAATGCAAAATGATGCAAACGCCAGAAATTGAGATGTTGGGCACATTGCCAGCAACAAGTCCAGGAGCACATTCATGCAAATTGTCACAAAATCCGGCCGTAACCATCTCAACTCTGCTCACCACAATACGACTTTAAATGCTTAACCTGCGTAACACGGATCCAATGCTGGCCATTGCATGCAACCAAAAGTCATGGAAGGCATTTGGGAATGGAAATTGAATGTGCCGAGTTTTTCATACAAAGTCTTCTAGTATTGTAGCGGAAGTCACTGGGAGGTTATTGCATGGTTCCTGTGTCAACCCACTGCTGTACTACTAACTTGCCACTAAAAATGGTGTTTGTTTGCAATGAAATGCATGGATTATGAGTACGTTACCTTGCACTATTGCTCCATTGCATGAAATTGTATGCGCCCTCATGCGCCCTCATGTCACCAAACAAAGTAGCAAAGGTGTGGTTCCAAACCTTTTTGCTACTTTGTTTTGTGGCATGAGCGCGCATATCGTTTTATTCATTGTTGTTTTAGAACTATTGTCTCCTTGTCGCCTATTCAAATATTGCACTACTGCCTGGAAGAGAACAGAACATTATAATGAACAGGGGAGAGGAGTTTAGCAAACTGCTGACTCCTAAGTCTACGGTATTCAGTTGTGAATGTGATTCTACTGAGAGCAGTTATCATTCTCTTGCGTTCTTTGATCTCATGCACATATGTGCGTGTGTTGGTAATCTTCAATAATGCACATACACACGTGCACCCATAGGCACCCATAGGCACCCATAGGCACACACAAACATTCACAAACACACACAAATATTCACAAGCACACACAAATATTCACAAACATACACACACACATACACACACACACAAACATACAGAAATACAAGCACATACACACAATCACAAACACAATTGCACAGGGTAGCCCTATTCTTTAAAACATAACTCAGGCCGGCGGAGATACTCCAGTTTCACCACCACAGCTGCGACTGCAGCCACCTCTATCATGCAGTATTCTGATCTCGAGGTTTGTGGTTTTTATAAAAAAAATACATCCCATACCTCACTGATATTCATCACAGTCGTCTTCGGCACGTTTCGACGTCTTCTTCTCCTACTCTGCTGCTGCAGCTGCTCATCCACAACTTCTTCGTAGAATGCGAACATCCTGAAACCGCTTGGCTCTCCACCTGTTGAACTGGGCTTCCATGTCAGCTCTGCTGTGGCAGTGCTCCCAACGAACTTGGCTTCGATTGACTCCGGCTGGCCGGGAACTACAGCAGGAGAAGACACATGACAGTTGTCGTAGTTACCCAAGCAATACAAACACAGAGATGTGAAGCGCTAATGCACTTCAATCAAACTTTCCAACTTTAACTGATACACATATCTTGTGCAGGGTATGCTATTTCACAAAGCTGTAAAGAGGATTAGATGGCTCTGATTAGCTCTGCTCCTGAGAGCATCGTCGGTCCGATCCAAATCCGTCCGATCTGGGTGTGATTTGTTGAAAGAAACATGATCCAATCGGGTGCAGCAAGTTCACCTGGATCTGGTTTTGACCAATCAAACAGATCCCAAAAAGACCTAGCGCAGCTATTCAAGATTACAACTCCAGTGAACGAAGATTCTACAGAAGGAAAACAAACACACAGTGCCTCTGATTCCAACTTACATCTTGCTGCTCCTGGTGAAGAGACAGGCTTGCTTGATGGACCGGTGCCGATTCTTGTGCTTGCAACTAGATAGAATCCGTAGCGTTTCTTTTCCACCAGTGAGTGGATCAAGGCATTGCTATGGTTACCGGAGACAGTGATATTATCATAGTCTGCTGGTCCTGTTTGGTTTTCATCCGTCACCATCTGGTCTTCCTGTGTTGAGTCTAGTTGACCGTAGTGGACCGTGTAGTTAGTGATAATACCTCGATCGTCTGTCAGCCGTGTCCAGGAGATGTTGGCTGCAACGTTGGTGGTGTTTGTTCGGAACACAACGCTCACATTGGTGACAGTATCAGGAGCTGAACAATGGGAAAATCCAACGTAATAGTTACTAGTCAGACTCGGATGGAGAGTCAAGGATTAATTTATAGGAAGATAAAGAGCTGAGAGCTGAGTGGCAGTTAGTTGCAGAACGTCAGTACCGTTCGTCAGTGTCACGCAATGTTACCGCATGAGCTGATTGTCAAGTAACTGGTGGTGTTAGTGGACAGTATAGCGTAACTTGTAGTTCTTCGGTCATTTTTCTTCCTATAATAATTGCTAGCATTGCACTTGATATGGCGGAGAAATCAGAGCAAGGAACAATGCTGCCTACTGCCTACCAGTTCTCAATATCAGACTCCACTGTAGCAATCCACTATATCCGTACATGCTCACAACACGCTTCAAGCAGTCTCTGGGCAACACAATCACTGACAAAGAGTAAAGCAACATCATCCCAATTTCGAGGCAAGACCCATCTTGAGACGTGGTGAAATAATTCTCCACGCATTGAGTTTGAGAAAAGTCACCTGAAAAAAACGGTGTGCACATGTGCATGGCTTACTCGATTCATCTGTTCGTTGTGGTACCGGGCTGCCAAATGGACCAGGTGCAGCCTCTGTCACAGCCCTCACAGACAGGTTGTATACAGTGTAGATCTCAAGCGGGGCGGTAGTCAGACTGGTCTCATTGCTTGTCACATTGAACACCTGGGTGTAGTTTGCAGGGTCGACAATCATGATGTCATAGCGTACCAACACGCCGTTTAGATCTTGCTGTGCAAGCTCTCGCCAGGCCAGTTGCAGAGCAGTGCTGCTCAAGTAGGATGTGTTGGTCACGGTTGGTCCAATACTTGGTGCTGCAGATGATGTATCAACAGTAAAGACAATAATAATGAGCAACAATAACAGTACCATCACCATAGAGCATCATTGTCATTACTGGGTTTTTGGAATGAGATTCGGCAAAGTGATTCCCAAGCATCTTTCATTCGAACCCAATTGGAGATTCCTAGGTTACGATAATTTGAAAATGCCTACCCCACCGAGCCCATTGGATTGATGCTCGTATGAGGAGACAAGAGAGGGTTAAAAGGCATCCCAGGGCCGTAGCAGGCGGTCCGGCAGGTCCAGCAGCTGCCGGACCAATGTTTGGCCAAAAAAAAAAAAAAAAAAAAAAAAAAGAAGCTCACTAGGCCCCAGCGGCAGATGCTAGCTAAATGTTGCCAAGATGCTTTTTGGGATGCTAGCTGACAACTCAGAAAGATGCTAGTTTGGATGCTAGACAACACAAATTATGCTACCTATGAATGGTAATTTCAGAACTAAATATTGCGACAGAGCTTTCGGCCATATTTTCAATTCATTGCATTCCCAACTCATCACAACCACGAGCTCTTCAGCCGAACCATACAGACACCAGCAAGGACACTTCCGTTGAGAGATAATATTGCTCCACGCCTCTAGACAGCTGTTTCGCTCCCTGTCGGAGCTCATCAGTAGAGGATGATAATGATGATAATGGAGGAATGATCATTCTTATACACCAGAAATGGCACAAGTGCGCGCTTTCCACATATATCAATGGCATATGCAAGCTGCTAAAATGGTAAAGTGTGAGAACAGCGATAAATAATCATAGTACGCGCTCATTGGTGGAGAAACACACCACACAAGCGACGAAAATCTTACTCGGAATACTGATGCCAATGGAAAGTACATGTATGTTGTTTATTATTATGATGTTGCAATCATAATAATAAACAACATACATGTACTTTCCATTGGCATCAGTATTCCGAGTAAGATTTTCGTCGCTTGTGTGGTGTGTTTCTCCACCAATAAGCGCGTACTATGATTATTTATCGCTGTTCTCACACTTTACCATTTTAGCAGCTTGCATATGCCATTGATATATGAGCCAGAGCGCGCTAAAACATGACCACAGCTTTTTTTGAAAAAGTCGAGAAAATCGCTATTTGAATTTCGCGGCAAAAAATACGAAGTGCAGTGCAACGCGAGTCGCTGTTGTTGTTCTCCTCGGTCGACTGGACTGTTCCGGATGCATTTCTTTGTTTCAAGTAAGTAAGTTTATTTGTTTGAGTTTGTATTCCATGTTGCGCTGAGTCGCCTAAAACTGATCGTCATCGATGGAACAGCCTAGTAGTAGTAATGTACTGCGGAGCGAAAGAAGACGACATCCTCGCACTCCATGCGCAGGATAAAATATTTTGAGGATTCGGGTCGGAAACAAGGAAGACGATGATGGCTACAGCGACGAGTCATTTGAGGGCGACACTTTCATCGAGTGTAAAAGAATTGATGCTGGTAGTCCCACGATCTGCAGTGACGAGGAATTCTACTCTGATGACAACCTCGCAAGCGATTGGCATCGACACTGACTTGGGAGGTGAGTCGGCCGATGATTTGGCCAGAATGGACATCGCTGCACAGATCCGGGACAATGCCAGTATTGGTTGCAAGTGCAAAAACAATCAATGGACTCTGCTGCTCCCTCAACTTGCTCAAGTCGATAATTTGAGTACCCTTATGCGGAACATCGCTAGCACGAGCAGTAGGCAGCGAAAGCAGTACTCTCTGGCGAGCGGAGAAAACTGTGTGCAGATGGGCTTTGGTGTGGGGAATATGAGTGCGACGTCGAGTATGTTGAGGAAGACAGTGTGCAGCAGTGTATACTGTATATCTGAAAGTACAGGTGGAGTGTGATGGAGAGGACGTGGAGTGCCAACTTGTTCGGCCATCTACAGTTGTTGACCGTGTTTTCGCTGGCGGTTCTCCAGTGGTACTCCAAACAGGCGGTATTTCGGACACCCAGCTCAGCTGCCTATAGAAATTTTGGATGTGGCCGAGTACCTGTCAGCTCATGCTATAAGACCCTGGACAGAGGAACTGACCAGGAAAGGATGAACCAAGGGACATATCAACTGTGTGCAAAAATGACAATCCCATTGCTGTACATAGAATTTCACCATTTCAACAGTGCTGCATATAATACCATTGTAGCAACACTTAGACATGTCAGATCAATCCAAAACTTTCAGATAGCAAACATTAGGTGTGTTTGATCATTTTTGAACAAAAAACTGAAAATCGAATTTTTGGTCTGTGGTCATATTTTAGCGTGCTCTGGCTCATATGTGGAAAGCGCCCACTTGCGCCATTTCTGGTGTATAAGAATGATCATTCCTCCATTATCATCATTATCATCCTCTACTGATGAGCTCCGACAGGGAGCGAAACAGCTGTCTAGAGGCGTGGAGCAATATTATCTCTCAACGGAAGTGTCCTTGCTGGTGTTTGTATGGTTCGGCTGAAGAGCGCGTGGTTGTGATGAGTTGGGAATGCTATGAATGGTAATGGTGAAACATTTGGGTTGAAAACGGTGTTCCGTGCTATTTATGAATTCTCACAAAGCAGGTATGTAAAAAGAGTTTTAAAGGTGCGATGTTGGCATCATGTTGCTATGGAAATATTTGCAATACAAAAGAGCAAATACCAAGAAGTACCAATGGCAATGTGGGTCTTGGTCACAACTAGGTAATGCAAACAAATTGAATGTAGTGCATGCAATTATCAATGTGGTAGTACCGTAATACTAGTTTCATAGTGTAATCTAGACCGAATTCCACATCCAGAATGCCAAAATTGGCAAAAATGTATCGGATGCCGGTAAAAACTGCTGTTTATGCTAGCATCGTGTGGAGTCACAAAAAGGCCCTTTTATGCTACTTTGGGTGCTAGCATTTGCCGCTTGGGCCTAGAGCTCACACATGTAAGCAGCTCAGGATGTCTACCCATGATGTGTGCAATAAGTAGAGCCGTAGTGAGGTAGTAGAGGTAGTACATGGTAATAGCAAGAGTATATACTTTGAAGTTTGAACTCTAGTAGTCCTCAAGTACATGTCATGTACATGTTGTTGCGAATACCATGTACATAGATCTATGTGGGTGTTGTCCTGTGTTTTATGACCTCCTGCCATTCCTCCATTGCAATGTCCTTTCTCCTCCCCCAAGGGACCAAAGGTCCATTTTTGGTTCTTTTATCACATGCGTTTAGATACTGTTGCTATGCCTTCATAGGCTTCACCAAGTTCTGTTTGGACGGACACAACATGCTGATGCCCTTTTTCCTGACTCATGCAGAACATCCTTCTTCCTTTTCTCGCCCTATGTCACTATGCATGGTCACAATTACATACAATTACAACTGTACATACACGTTAATACTCATAAAAAGGACACACTTCAGGCTCATTACAAACATCTTGAAAGTTTTTGTCTTCACAAGTATACTTTCAAGCCTTCTCATCAGGTGAAATACAGGCAAGGGAAAAGGAACAGGAACAGTGGATTAAATACAGTAAGAAGGTGGTAAAACAGCGCAAAAAGAAAGAAAGAAAGAAAGAAGATAGCTAAAGTAAACAGCGAAAATTGCAATAATGACACAAAGGTGCAAATGCGAGAAAACTCAATAAGCGCGACATGTAGTGCGACAACAAGCGACAACCACTGGACATACATGTAACTAACGAGGTTTTGACGACCTACCTAACAGCCTAAGTGTGAATTTGATTTGTTTCTGCTTGCAAAGGTTGGGTTTCCTTGTGTGGATGTATACAGCTTCCAAAACATTCAGCAATCTAGCACTGCGTACACGTGACACAATCGAAAAACAATCATCCGAATACACAGCACGACAATCAGGATGCTCAAACAAATGACTAGCAATGGACGACTCATACTTATCAGATTGTTCTGATGTTAGTTCTGATAAGTATGAGTCGTCCATTGCTAGTCATTTGTTTGAGCATCCTGATTGTCGTGCTGTGTATTCGGATGATTGTTTTTCGATTGTGTCACGTGTACGCAGTGCTAGATTGCTGAATGTTTTGGAAGCTGTATACATCCACACAAGGAAACCCAACCTTTGCAAGCAGAAACAAATCAAATTCACACTTAGGCTGTTAGGTAGGTCGTCAAAACCTCGTTAGTTACATGTATGTCCAGTGGTTGTCTCTTGTTGTCGCACTACATGTCGCGCTTATTGAGTTTTCTCGCATTTGCACCTTTGTGTCATTATTGCAATTTTCGCTGTTTACTTTAGCTATCTTCTTTCTTTCTTTCTTTCTTTTTGCGCTGTTTTACCACCTTCTTACTGTATTTAATCCACTGTTCCTGTTCCTTTTCCCTTGCCTGTATTTCACCTGATGAGAAGGCTTGAAAGTACACTTGTGAAGACAAAAACTTTCAAGATGTTTGTAATGAGCCTGAAGTGTGTCCTTTTTATGAGTATTATCGCATTTTTGTCTCAGAGGAAACTGTGTACATACACGTACAATCATTTACACTTTGTACATGTACATGTACCGGCATATGTAGGAGTGTGGGCTCGGGGGGGGGGGGGGGGGGGGGGGGGCATCGAGGTCGGATCTTGCCGGACCAACCAAAATGGGGCTGCTACGGGCCTGCATCCTCAGGACAGTAGTGGCTCTAGGGCAAGTTTGTGGTAAGCTGAAACCCCTAAAATCTACACGCAAAGTGGTCATTGACTGCCCCAGCCATGTATTGCTTGGAATTAACAAAACTTACTAACTAAGATACTTTGATTACGTTGAAGTATTCACGCAAAGTTTTATACAATATTGGAAAGATTAAAAAATATATCCTACATTGTATCAAAGTTGTATTCGTAAAACTAACAAGGGAGACAGACGTACTTGGATAGTCTGAGGCCATAACTGAAAAACAAAGTGGAGTAAGTTCAGATCATGCTAAGAAGGGTCAAACGTTTCCACCTTGGCAGTGACCCACAGGTGATTGGAAACTCAGTCTAACCTCGCACAAGGGTAACATGGACACAGCACTGGGTTTTTTACATCTTTGACCATATTGTGGTGAATCTGATCCACTCATCAGCTACCACTAGGATGTGCGTATGTGGGTGGGTGGTGTGTTTCAAGGTGCGGAAGAGTAGGCTTGGCCTACTCTCTTCGAACCGTCAATTATTTGAAAGCAAGGCTATGCTGAAGGTATCGTACTGCTCTGCGCGAGCTGATGTCTGAACTAGGGAAGTTAACAGCCCTCCATGTCCTAGGCCTACGCATCATGTAATGTTCAGGTATAGGGAAGGGCAAACCAATGCAGTGTTCTTGTTGGTACTCGGAGGCTCTGTGTTTTTGTAACTCAGAGGTTCCAGTGTTAGCAATCACCAGACAATTGCCACCGATTGCTTAGTATGAACTGTACAGCGATCCCGAGACCCTTGGTCGGGGGAGTCCACCGCACCTCACCAGCGCAGCGCATGTAGCGCCTACACACCCATTGCTGTGTTTTGTTTTGACTTCGTTTTGTTTCCCCTTCTTCCGTAGGTATGGGCCCTGTGATAAAGAACACAGTGTTCAAATCCACCTCACCTGCTTGCTGGGTCTGGAACGATGTGAAGTTAGAGATATCTCCCCTGCCAATACCAGTAGCAGCGGCAATGGCCACTTCATACATCGTGTATGGTTTCAGCCTGACAATAGTTCCATTAAGGGCAGATGCAAGGAATGTTTGGCTTGAGACGTTACTGACGGGATAGATAGCTGTGACGTTGACATGGTAATATATGATTTCTCCATTCTGGTCCAGTAGGGGAATTGGAGACCATTGCAGCTGAGCAGATGTGCTTGTCTCACCGGTAGCAGCTAGGTTCGACGGAGCACGACTTGGAACTAGAACAAGTCAGAGGATAATCAAACACAACCACTTGATAAGTACATTGCTTGACAGAATATCAGGTGAAATTGCTACATGTATTGTATTGTATTGTATATATTTAAAAGAATTCTCCAAAAGCAAATGGATGCTTATCACGGAAGTCTCCTACATAAATATAGCAAGAAAAATGGGGAAATGGGGGAGAGGAGAGGGGAAGATGAAGCATGGGAAAAGGGAAACAAGCACCCAAATATCGAGGTATAAAAGCAGGAAAAAATCGACGAGAGAAGAAATCACCTCTGCAGTTATTAGCTGGACATTTAGATGAGAAAAAACCCCAGCAAGGATTAATTTCTAGTAAGTACACTGCGGCTTTTCACTTTACATATGTATTGCATTGCCTTTTCTACCATGATTTTCTAAAATAGAAAGGTAAGACTCCGCTAGAGCAAATTTCTGAATTATGGAAAGTGAAAGTGAAAGAAACTTCAAAAGGTTGGAATTCGATCCCAGATGACAAAATTACTGGATCCACCTAGCTTTTATTTATTTATTTTCTTACGAATGACAATCCCTGCGATCAGACAGAGAAAGGGAAAAGGCATTTTAAGAAGGAGAAGAAAGGATAGTGACGAACGGCTATCTGCAGGGGTTGCTAAATTAGCAGCAGTGCAGGCGTTGTAGGCTCCCCCGATCACTGGTCTCGGGTTCCTGGCCGCATTACATGTTGTGTCATGAACCAACAGCCCAACAGAGCGTGTTATTGTGCATGGCACAGGGTAGTGCGAGGTCACGTACCGTCTATACATGGCGACAGAAAGGGGAAGGACTATGTCGTGAATGGGTGAAAGGATAACGTGATACAGGATAGGACACTACATGCACCAAAGATAAGAACAATTAGAGTACAGCTTCTGCAGGTCACTAGAAACCAAGCCGGATCTTACCTCCCTCTTTAGTGGCAAAACCGTCCATTTGAGTGCTACTGTTCTCTCCCCTTCCATTTTGAACCCAGGTCCAGGTGTTGTAGACTACATATTCCTCAAGATTGTCGAAATCAGATACAGCATTATCGGTGCAATTGTGTTCCACTCGTTGACGCAGGTCATCAGGTATTGATTTGCCGTCCACAGTCTTGGTTGCTTGAATTGTGATGCAGTACTGATGAACATTCCAGTACGGTGATTCAGACGTCACCACTGCCCTCACACTGGTTGATGTTGAAGTCCATTTGACGGTTGGTTCGTTGGGTACTATATTGCAATACACAGAATCACCAGGAAGAGGTATGTTAGATTAGTATTCCACAACCGCTGACAGTGCCATCGGGAAGCATGTAAGGTGTTTTTTCTCTCTTACTGTCACCCCATCACTACCATCATACACAGCAGGGTTATAGCTGGCTTGAAACCAGTGAAGACGAGCAGCTGGGTTAGGACCATTCAAAGTTGCGTAGATAAGCACAACTCCACACATGCAGTGCAGCATGGTTATGTGCTGCAGGTCTATTACTATTTGTGTACAACTGCGTGCAGTAATGCACAAGCAAACCAGGACAGAGTGATACTCTTTACTGCCTTTGCGCATGCTATACACAGTGCATACATGGTTGCAATCCACAGTGCTTGGGGAAAGAAAGGGGTTGAGGGAACCTTTATGACAGGCAGATCCTTATAACTTAGCTTACTGATGACAGCATTGCGGCAGGAAACAAAGGAGACGCAGTTATATGTGGGTTTTGTATGATGACATTTTGTGTAGTCAGTGTTCATTGTTCATGAAAGTGTGTTACATGCACAACAGGATGATGAGAGTGTGTTGCTGAGATTATAAATTATAAGCTAATAGGTATGGTATCGGCTAGGTGTCTAAGGAAAAATGTGATTATTTACCAAGAGTTACTGTTCTTACCAGCTTCGAGTGTTTTGACAATCTCCTCACTGCTGAAAGGTCCACTTTGACCTCCGTGACCTATAGCCGATACACTGATGGTGTAGTCTGTGTTAGGCTGAAGGTGATGAAGTGTGAGTGAGAGCTGATCACTTCCAACACGTCGGTCATGGCTGTTGTACTTGACCAGATAGTGTGTGATTGGACCGTTGCGACCAAGCAAGGGTACTTCATTCCATACCATTGTCAGTGATGTTCTGTTGACATTGGTGACGTTCACGGATGCCGGTGGCTCAGATGGGGCTGTGTCAGATGCAAAAATACATCACGTTAAAAAGCCAGAAAAATAGCCAACAGCTTGCGGCAATGATAGTTACATTTGGCTTTTCTATATTCGGTTTCTCACTTCAAAAATACGTGCTCAAAATGCAGGAATTTTCTTCTTGCGGTCATTTCAGTGGAGGCCCAAGATGAAAATTAGTATCATCCTCATTTTGAGTAAAATATCCTGCATGCAAAGTCTGGTTTCAGCGACCGTGGCACTTAGGTGACCGTGGACATGAACAAGGAAACTAACTCTGTCCTGCTTTGAGGGGAAATGATCAGAATGACATCCCAACAGCTCACAGACACCACCGGGGGAAATAGTGATGCATGGCAGTATGGGGAACAGTCAAAAATATATAGGTTAACGAGCAGCAGCAGCACCACCACCTCCGCCACAACCGTCACCACAACCGTCACCACCAGCAACAGTTCAACGTTGCAGCCACTACTCCCGTAGCTAAATACAGTAAAACAGGACATGTATCTACTTTTCAGATGTTATCACGCATGACTGACCTGCAGTTGTGGTGTTGAAGAAAAGTTGAGTGGTATTAGGGCTCCTGGCCATGACGGTGTTGTTTGCATAGCCCACAATGATGTACGTTGAATCTTCCTCCAGGTTGTTGAGTACGATGGTTGTGCTTGTATTGCAAGTTATTGTTGGATTTGTTGGCGACGGAAAACCTGATACTGTTTGACGCTTGTACAGACAGCAATAACTATGAATTGCGAAGTTACCAGTCAGTGCGTCAAATACCACAGTAATATTTGTTGGAGCTAGTAATCTAGATATTATGGTCGGAGCTCCCGGTACTGAAGAAAAACAAAATTGCAGGTACAGACTACTCAGAACCTCAGACAAAGGAAATTCTACAAAATTGTTTCAGGAGGTGAAATAATGAAAAACATTGTGCATGATGATAGTCCTCTGACAGCAGTGTCTTACGAGTGAGCAGATCTGTTTCGAGCCGTCATGCAATTTTGGTACAGTATGGTTAGACCAGTGTCTTGTCCCACGTGCTTGTCACAGAGGTTGAGGGGCACACGCTTTCCCACGAATGTGGCATGCCTCTTGGCCATGACACATCATGTGACTCAATGCCGGAACCTGGTCAGGTAGGTTCTCGCGTTGTACGTTGCCTGGAAGTGCTTCACTTCCTGGAAATGTGACTCCAGGCTTTGTGCAAAAACTACATCACCATGACGTTCTACAGGTTTCCATGAGGCTCCGGAGCTTCGTGCAAAGAGCCAAGACTAGCAAGAGCTACATGCAAAGAATGAAGAGCCAAATTGGGCCCAAGAGCCAAAACTGTCCCCGCACCAGGTCAGGGTACGAAGTATCGTGCATGCAAGACTTACCCATAAGAAGCCACTGAGCAATGGAATGTTGGGTGAGCGGGCTCCCAACGAGACCCTCATATACACCCAATGTATGCTGACGTGGCTGAGCGGGCTCCACACGTCCCTTCTTGGCCATTTTTATCTCCATGTCTTTCTTTCTCTCTCCTTGAATGATTCCCGTACGTGTATTCTGCTTTCTGCTGACTGGCTGCACATATTCCTCTTTTACCTGTTCTACTATTTCCTGGAAATTGATCGTACCATTCTATCCAATGATCACACCATTATCTGTAAAAAGCGCTATAAAAGAAGCTCTCACTCTCTTTTAGTTCAGTCGTGACTCAGTCTTAGCTATCAATCTTAGTTTTACCTATCATCGAGAAAAGAGACGTGGGCAAACAGTAATTGCTTACTTCTTCGACCTATCTAAGGTGTTTGACTCGGTGTGGAACCAAGGACTGCTTGCAAAATTGGCCCACCTTGGACTCGATGGCAAATGCCTCCAGTGGCTTGCCTCTTATCTCCCCAACAGACGACAATGTGTGCAAGTGGAGAGCGGCAAGTCAGCCTGGCTGAACATTCCAGCGGGGGTCCCCCAAGGCTCTGTCTTGGGGCCGCTTTTGTTCACAGCCTACACAGTCGATCTGCCAATCGCCTGCATAAATGCCAACACTGAGTGCAGCCAGGTTGCCGACGACACTCCCATCATTGCCGCTCATGCGAAATTTCTAGCCGCAGAAGAGCACGTCCTGCCAGCTGTGACAACCGCCACACAGTGGCTGAAGGATTGGCGTCTCCTGGTCAATGAAAGTAAGACCACTGGCATCCACTTTCACCACACCAACTGTCCACCTCCCAGACCACCATCAATCGCACTTAACGATACCAACCTCACTGTGGCCTCCAGGCATCGCCACCTTGGCCTCATCATACAGCAGAATCTATGCTGGAACTTACATGTTGACTATGTTATCACAAAAGCGTCCAGGAGGATGCTCCTTCTCCTGTGACATCCACCCTATTCTTGAGTATGCTTGCACTGTCCTCTCACCCCTCCCCACAACCCTCAACGACCGGCTTGAGTGCATCCAACGATGCGCCGCTCGCCTCTGTTTACAACTCCCCTCTTTGAACACAGAACCCACTCTGTGCTGCTGCACCGGCTCAAATGGCCATCACTTAGCAGCCGCCGCACCCTTCCCATATTCTTCTTGCACATAGCCTGCACCATAGATATGCACCACCACACCTGCCTGCACCTATAATGATAGACCCCCTGTGCTCACCATGCCACAGGGTCCATCACGCCCCACAGTGTTATCAGCTTTCCAGTATGTCCGAACCAACTCTGTTTATCGTCTCCTGAGAGGCATCAATGCAGCCAAGGCCACAGGCAGTGACAGCATCCCAGGAGTACTTCTGAAGTGCTGTGCTGATATCATTGCTCCGTCTGTTGCTGCTCTCTTCAATGCCTCACTATCCCGTGGTACAGTACCCTCTGCCTTCAAGCTTGCACACGTATCACCGCTATATAAAGCTGGTGACCCAGCAGTTCCCACTCACTTCCGTCCCATTTCCCTTCTCCCAATCCTGTCCAAGCTTTTAGAGAAGCTAGTGCAGAAGGAACTTGTATCAGTCATGAACATCACGGAGTCACTTCCCTCCACTCAGTTTGCATTTCGCAGCGGCCATTCCACTGAGGATGCACTAGCTCTCATCACCAACCGTATCCTTACTGCCCGGGACAAACGAATGTACACAGGTGTCTGCTTACTGGACATGTCCAAAGCATTCGATAAAGTTAGACATCACCAACTAATTCTCGACCTCTTCAATGTTGGTGTCACGGCCACAGCCCTGCGTTGGTTCATTTCTTACCTCTCCGAACGGACCCAGCGTGTGTGTATCGGACCATCACGCAGCACTATCACTCTCTGCACCTGCGGAGTGCCACAGGGATCTGTGCTCGGCCCCATTTTGTTCAACATATACACTCGGGAAATACCCAATGTTGCTGGACATGCTTTGTCTTTGCAGTTTGCAGATGACATTGGTCTCACTTGCAGCAAACCGACTAAGTCTGAAGTGTCTGCAATTCTGTCTGCGTCAGCTTCAGCTATTGCTAACTGGCTAAACGACCGTGGCTTGATCCTGAATGCTTCCAAAAGCCAGGTGATCTCCATTTCCGGGAACCTACCTGAGAAGCATACTCCACTCTCGGTGAACTGTAACGGGACCCTGCTGCCTCTTGTGGAGTCTGCCAGGTACCTTGGCGTAACATTTGATAGCAACATGTCTTGGGATGACCACGTAACCCGCTGTGCAAACCGTGTATCACGAAAGATCGGAGTCCTGTGGAGGATGCGGCGTTGCCTCAGCACACAGGGTCGGATAACTTATTTCCAGTCCATCATAATGCCCGATCTTCTATATGGATCAAATGCATTTTCGACATCTCTGGCAGCCAGGCACTGTCATCGACTACAGGTTCTGCAAAACCGTGGTGCCCGTGTAGTGTTCGGACGCCCGCCGTGGACATCCGCACATGACCTACTGGAGCGCCTCTCACTGTATCGGGTTACCGAAGTGTACAAGCAGAAGCTGGCATTCCTTGCATGGCGCTGCCGTTACGGCCAAGCAAGTCCTGAGCTTCAGGTTCTCTTACTGCCAGCTTGTGGCCGGTCCACGCGCCTGGACTCCAGCATGGGTCTCTGCCTGCCACCCGCCCGCAGCAACTCTGGAAAGGGGACATTCGCCTTCCAGGGTGCGCTATGCTGGAACAACCTGCCAAGCAGTATTCGCTCCATCTCTGTTCCTCGTCAATTCCGTGCTGCCGCAGTCCCGTTTCTTCTATGAACTGAGAACATTGCAAAGCAATTGTATGTGTGGCTGTCAATGTACATGTGTGTGTGTGTATGTGTGTGTGTGTTGTGTGTGTGTGTGTGTGTGCACGCGCGTGTGTGTGTGTGTGTGCACGCGCGTGTGTGTGTGTGTGTGGGGGGGGGGGTATGTGTCTAAGTATGTGTGTATTGGTGCGTAGGTGTGGGTATGTACATGTAGATGTATGTGTGTGGATGTGTGGGTGTGTGGATGTGTGGGTGTGTGGATGTGTGGATGTGTGGGCGTACATGTAGATGTGGAATGCTTCGATTTCTCTATCTTCTCTTCTCTTCTCTCTTCCTTTCGGGGTCTCCCGCTTCTGGGCCGGCATGGCCCATGCTTCATGCGTGCTTGTTCCTGGTGTTGTTTTGTCTACTGTGTCCTGCCGCTACTCCGGCTTTGGCCGTGACCACGATGTGTCTCCCCATTTTCTCCTTCATCCTTTCCTTTGTCTTTTTGCTAAAAGCTTTCTTCTCGCCGTGACCACGATTTTTCTTCTTCTTCTTCTTCTCCATTATTCTTTTTTTTTCCTTCCTTTCTCTTCTTCCTTTGCCGAGAACCTTCTGTTCCCATTTTTTCTTTTCATCTCTGTCCCCATTCCTGGGTTATTTGGACTTCATTCGCTTCCTTGTCATTGGACATGTTCAGTCCGTTCGGTTTGCGAATTTAAATAAACACAACAACAACAACAAACAACCTACAGCCCATTCGCACGGTCAGGTTCTCTCGAACTTTTGAGCTACCCACAACACGCACAAACCAGCTAAGAGACTCCCCCATCTATGCTTCTCTTGATCGCTTCAATAACATTCCACTCAGCCTCCGGCAAATGAACCCCAGAAAGGATTTCAAAGTAAATATCCTACCTCTTGTCGTCTCTTCCTTATGTACCTGCTCTCATTAATCAGCACATCTGTAGCCCCATTGTACCCAGCCTATGTGATAAAACTCAACAGGATCGACAGTGGGAGGCCCCACTGATGCCGATGTCGATGCGCACCAGAAAACTTGTAGTCGTGAGTGTGATACTAGCAGGTCTAGCAGAGTGGACACGACGAGTTGGTGAAGAAAGAAGGAGAGATGACAAGAGAAGTCGGTGAAGAAGGAAGGAGAAAAGCAAGACACATCTGCAACATTTATGTTTGATCAAACTGAGCTGAGCTGCTGATACGAAGCGTCGACCAAGCAGCCCTGACTGGAGTGAATGTCCCAGCTGGCCTCTCGTTTGTCAGTGGTTGCTACTAGACCTGCTCGTATCACACTCACGACTACAAGTTTGCTGGTGCGCATCGACATCGGCATCAGTGGGGCCTCCTGCTGTCGATCCTGTTGACGGGCGGACAGGTCGGTGTGAATCCTGAACGGCAACCGAGCCTGTCGCGTTGGGGAATCGCGGCGGTGGGTCTCGCCTCGCCTGCATACATGGACATTGCAACATCATAATAATAAACAACGTACATGTACTTTCCAGTGGCATCATTATTCCACGTACTTGTAAGATTTTTCGTCGTTTGTGTGGTGTGTTCCTCCACCAATGAGCGCGTCCTATGAATATTTATCGCTGTTCTCACACTTTACCATTTTAGCAGCTTGCATATGCCATTGTTATAATTATGTGGAAAACGCGCACTTGCGCCATTTCTGGTGTATCAGAATTATCATTCCTCCATTATCGTCATTATCATCCTCTACTGATGAGCTCTGACAGGGAGCGAAACAGCTGTCTAGAGGCGTGGAACAATATTATCTCTTAACGGAAGTGTCCTTGCTGGTGTCCGTATGGTTCGGCTGAAGAGCGCGTGGTTGTGATAAGTTGGGAATGCAATAAATTGAAAATATGGCCGAAAGCTCTATCGCAATATTTAGTACTACAGTCACCTTCGCTAATAACGACTGCGGATATAACGACAATGGATGGATAAAGGCACACATGCAAGAAGACGCAGCCAGCTGTCCCCGGGGAAAATCGCGGAAAAATCGCAAAAAACGCGGGGAAAAAACGCGGCATAATATAGCATATTTTGCGGTGAATTTGCGGTAAATATGCGGTAAAAATCGGTGAATATTTTATGATGCGGCAAGTTTGCAGTTGATATGAGGCAATTTTCAGTGAGTATGTAGTGAAATCAATCAGTTACAAGTCTCTGGTGTAAGCACTCGTCGCATTTGAGTACAATGAGACGTTGCTGACCGAACAGTGCACTGTGTGTACGTGTAGTGCAACAAAAAAGTTCAGAAAAACGCAAGAAAATCGCGGAAAACGCGGTCTTTAAAAAAATCGCAAAACACGGCCGCGGAATCGCGATTTTCCCCGAGGACAGAGCCAGGGGGGGGGGGGGGGGCTTTTTATTATTATTTTTTGTTTTGTTTCTAAATACATGTTGGAGTGATCAGCACAACTACAATGTCATGTAATTGTAGGTCTACATGACTGTACAGTAATCATCATACATGTCATGTACATGTCCCTGTAGATGGCTCCAAAACTTGCAAAAGGCTAATTTTTCCAATCTATTTCCCTTTTAAAAGAAAATTGACTTTGCAGTTCCTTTCAATTGTAATATGAAAAGAGAGTACACATTAGCAAAAGAGCTTCATTCTGATATGCATGTCATACTATACAAAATATGGGTTCACATACATTCAAATGGGACTTCGGGTATACGGACCCTTCGCGAATAAGGACACTTTTCTGATGCCCCGCCGAATGTCGTTATTGGCAAAGTTGACTGTATTTCAGCAAGCAGTTAAACTTCGATTCCTCTTTATCCGACCCCGTGTCTGTAATTCTTTTCTCTTGTTGGCCACAGGCTATTGTGAGAATAAAAGATTTCAAACTTAGAGCTCGGGTTTGAATGACTATCACAACGTGCAACTAACAGTCTTTGTCTGTTGATCGTGTGGGGTTGAACTTGGACCAAGCCAGCTATATTGGTTGGCCCCTGAGTTGTGCTGGGCTCGTCGTGAAGCCACATGTCTATTCGGTCGCCACTCGTAGAGACTTCTGGGTCTGGTCACTGAGCGACATTCCTATCAAAAACCCTCAGCTTCATGCCGCTGAAAACCCAGAGCCAAAATATGTCAATTCATTGCATTGTCGAACAAATGATGTGCAATGTATGTTTGCGTCTGGAGGGTTTACATGAATTTCAGAGTTAGACCTTACCATCCTGTAATGTTGCCACATTTTTAGGATGTGAATAATCACCATGACCTCCTGTTGAGATGGCAGCAACGGACACACTGTACACGGTGTTGAATATCAAACCAGACACTGTGGTGCTGCTTGCAGTCGTGTTGATGGATGCTACCTGTGTTGTACTGTTCCTACATATCACATTGTAAGCGACCAATATTCCATTCAACTTGTAAGCATCCACATCCTGCCATCCAATTATCACACTTGTGGCTTTGCTGGTAACCAAGTGTACACCTTGAGGAGCTACATCCGGAGCTGCACATACAGGAAAAATTGTTGGGTAAGGGATATGTTGGAAAAGTGGAGAGTTCTCTAAAGCCAGGGGTGTTGAAAAAGAGGAATTACACAATAATTGTATACCCGCATTGTAAGCTGCACCTTCACTGTGAAGTGTGAACTGATGAATTGGACAGAAGTATGTTTACTATGGTATACTTTCTCCGTTAACAAAAACTTCGTGATGGATTTTGATGGATATGAAAACGCTTAGAACAGGTCAAGAACAGTTTGTATCGACTGCAAATCACTGGGCGAAAGTGATCCAGCCTATGTACAGCGTCTTTACAAGAGAAACCGTTGGCGGAATGAGCAAAGAGTTCAGTTTGCGTCGCTTTCGCTCGACTCATTTTTGACCTGCGTTGTTGTCGTCATCTGCTGCACGCGAGTCGTCATCTGCTGCACGCGAGTCGTCATCTGCTGCACGCGAGTCGTCATCTCTCTCTCGAGTAGTTGTTCAGCTCGTTTCAGCCTTGCCTCGGCTTCTTTGATCACACTCCGCTGACCTTGATGTCGCCGTCGTTCAAGTAAGTTTGGCTTTCAAGCTACGTGATCCGCCGCGATGGCAACTACTCGTTTCCACCAGAGTCGTGCAAAATATTTTACGACTCCCTGGTTTCATCTTTGTTCTCCAGAACTCCGCGAAACAAGGAGTAAAGGCACAGCCAAACTGATTCCATTTTCTCTAATGGATGCCCCTGCCTGCTCTGAACGGGAGCGGCTAGCAAGTCCAGTCGATTTTCTTTAGCCATGAGACTCGCATGGGACTGCAGAGTTCTGAAAGAATGCATGGTCATCAGCATTCGAATCTGGGCTTTGGGCAGGTTGAGCAAGAACTTGAGTTCAAAATTATTTTCATTGAGCCGTGCGATCGGAGCAGCTCCTTGTTCACTCGCTCATTGTGTGGGTTCGCTGCTCCGTTTTATCGCTCTCTATCGCTCTCCAACTTACTTAGTGCTAAAGTGGTAGAGAGGCCAAGCAGCGCAATATCCCCTCGGAGAAGTGGTATTTCAGTTTCGCTCGCCATGACCATGATGACTGTCATCACCTATGCTTCCACAGCGCAACCATCGATTCCGCTCGGCTTGTTGTGAAAGGTCGCTTTCCTTGCATCGTACCTCTTTCATTGCATGCCAGGGAAGGCCAAGAAAGTGATTGCGACTCATTTCACGGCAATTTGTGCCCAAACCAGCCCCTCAAAAATCCATCACGAAGTTTTTGTTAACGGAGGAAGTATGTTTGTTCGACCCTTGAATCCAATGTGTATTCACACAGGGAGTCTATGTGTAGGGACCGTGTCTGCATTATACACATCCCATATCCTTTTAATTACCATGGTATACAGTGTTGCATACAGTACAGGGATGAATTTACTGTCATTTTTTTGCATAGCAGTTTTCGCGACGCAAACGCCAAAATGCGTAGCAGTCCTTGATTTTTGATTAGCACTTTTTCTTCCACGAAGACCGACTAAAATTTCTCAGTCCACGGAGGGAGGACTCGTGCTGTCTGCATAGCTGGCAGAAAATTAGCGTCACCGCTGCACCTGTAGCTTTCTCAGAACCAAGCCATTTCTTCTGGACATCGACCTCTGCCACCCACTTCTCAAAGGTACTCTGTCGTACAGACATGTTGGAGGCAGAACCAGACTAGACAAAAACTACAGCTTGGACAATTGTCAGAGAGAAGGACGAACGTGATACCAAAAGTTCCTCACGACCAGAAAGACCGACTGGCTACAAGCAGAAAGCTATAATGTCACGAAAAGGGGTAAGTGAACCAGAAAGAAGAAAACAAACAACAAGACCTCCGCCGGGATCGTGGAGGAAAGATGATGCTTGTCAGTACGGAAAGTACATGAACTTACTGGACTTACTGAATGAAAGCCGCGCAAAGCTGTACGTGTAGTTCAAAAAGGACACCAGTACAGTCAGTATAGTATGTGCACGCGAAGCCAGCCAGGGTTCACAGGTACATGTACTAGAAATCACACCTTCCCGAGAAAAAAACGGGGTCCGTGCACTGTACAGGTGTCGTGAGTGTACGACATAGTCACAGCATCACTTTTACAGACTGCGCGAGCTAGTATGCAGTGCCGTTTATGCATCGCAGTTTCCTGCGAGTCGCTGTGATTTTTGAGTCGCACTCGATCGATTTTGAATCGCAAACTGCGATGCGATACCGGATAAATTCATCCCTGCAGTATAGAACAGTGCTGGCAACAGAAATCCTCTTGGGATTTCAACACAGAAGTGTGATGAATGTAGAAAGGAAAAACGCTCTCTCTCTCTCTCTCTCTCTCTCTCTCTCTCTCTCTCTCTCTCTCTCTCTCTCTCTCTCTCTCTCTCTCTCTCTCTCTCTCTCTCTCTCTCTCTCTCTCTCTCTCTCTCTCTCTCTCTCTCTCTCTCTCTCTCACTCACTCACTCACTCCTTTCTTCCCGGTTGCCGTGCTTGTGACTTTTTTCCCCTGCTGCCGTGCTCATATTAGTTATCTAACTACAGCTGTATCTTCTTCTTGGTTCTGTTTGTCCGCTTATTATTATATATTTATCTTTTCTCTTATTATCAGTGGGACCATTGTCATTAGGTTTAGGCCGGTTTTGGAAATCCACTTTAAATAAAGCCAAACAACAACAACAACAAAAGGACATACGGGTATGGATACGAGTTAAGAATAACTGTCCACCACTGTAACTAAGTACTATAATACCAGGGGCGTCGGAAGGTATTTTAGTGTGGTACGGTCAGCCATCTGAAGTACAATTTACTTGCGGGGGATCCCCGGAGAGTGGTGGCGGAGCCGAAAAATTTGGAAATTTATAGTCCAGATCAGTGTATTTTATTGATTCACGGGGTGACTGGGGCAAAAAGTGGTGGGGTCAATACCGTGGTGATTGTACCGTGTCCGACGCCCCTGAACACAGTCAGAAAGTGCAACAAATAGGCACAAAGCTGATAGAGTACTGAGGCATTCGACGACCTGACACCTAGCTCCAACACATCTCCGAAGCACGAGCCAATATCTGAGTTTCAACACAGACGTGTGATAAGTTTAATTTTGTCGAGAGTGAGTGGTGCCCAATAATGAATAACAAACATAGTAGGTATACTTACATGCCGCTGGTGTTGTGAACATGTCAAGAAACTTTGGCCGCCCATCTTTTCCAAGTGTGTTTTGTGTAGCACAGTAGGAATTACTATAGGTAGCATCGGCCTCATTTGGTGAGAACGTAACAGGACTTTTTTGAGCACAAACAGGCACTACAGTCAAGTTTGACTTGGCTATGTTGGAAACTGATGACCGCGTGAAATAGCAGCAGAACTTAGAGAAGCGATAGTTTCCTGCATTCTGCAAGATGTTGACAACCACCTTTGTTGCTGATACCGTAACTATGGAAGCGGTTGGTGCTGGTGGAACTGCACAGAAATCAATTCATAAAGAATAATGAGAAGAACATTCCAGGATGAAATGGTATGATATAGGGGTCAAACGAGTATATCGAATACTTGAACTCATTCTTCCAAGACAACATTTAACTCTTGGAAGCACTTCTCACAGCGATATAAAAGCACTGAGCTTTCACAAGTCGTAATATGTGCACTTTCCTGTTTTGTGCAGTACCGATCGGATAAACGGAAGTACTCGATGTACATGCACACAGTAGTGCATGGTATGCTTCGAGTACTATTGCGAAATGAGTACTCGCTCTTTTCACATTTTCCAGTGTTCAATATTATATACTCATTTCGACCCCAATGAAAAGGTTTTCGAAGATGCCAAACCGCCATCCCAAGATCCCTTGCTGCCAGCGGCCATCCACGACAAATGGAATTCATTGATAATGCAGCAGGGAAAAATAAAGCGAAGTAAAGGGAATATTTATGTGATCTGGTATAACCCTCTCTTTTACTTCAATGTAAAGACCAGCATCGGTGCCAAGTTCCTACACCTTATTGAGAAGCATTTTGAATGCGGATTTGCCTTCAACAAAATATTCAACACGCGAATGGTGTTTGGGCTCTTTCCCCTTCAGTGAAGACTGTATTATTATTTAATGAGGGAGAGGTGAGCGCAACCAAGATAAGCAGGAGCTGAAAGTCTCTGCTGTGAAGGACTTTGGCGAATGTTCATGCATGCCGATGACGATACTGGCAAGACCATTGGACAATACGGTCAAACCACGATTCAAGGACGCAAAGCAACATTCCACACAACTTGCGTGGCTCAAAAGATGCGAAGATCAAGAAAAGGGGAAGCTATGCGAACAAGAAGCATGCAAAATCGAACGCCTCAGTAGAACAGCACTTTTCTTCGACTATGACACTTTTTTTGTTCATTTTTTTCAGTTGCAAGTTTATTGTTAGCACACGCATTCGTTATCGCTCTCGCTTTCATTGTTAAAATTCACACTTGTAAATTTCACAGCTGTTGTCCTTAGTGTCATTTCTCAAACTTAGATTTTCTATAATAGTTCAATTTTGTTTCAGTGTCCTTTAGTACAACGACGATTCCTGATGAGTGTTGTACGAAAACTTGTTTGAATCCTTATTTTCTCTACACTAGTTCTTCATATTTTCATCGTTTTATTTCACATTGTCTCCACCGTTTTACATTGCATGAATACAGTGTACACAAATGTCGATTCAGCTTGTCTTATTGATTGCGGTTATAAAATTATTGTCTCCTCGCCGTTTGTTTTAAAATAGATATAGTTACCGGCAAAATATGTCAGTACGGCACTGCTGAGACTGCAATACAAAAAGAAAAGATAATAGATATAGGTACTGGCATAATGTGTCAGTACGGTGCTGCTGCGACTGCAGTACAACTCTGCAGAGACTGAGAATACACCCAGATCATTGCGTTACCTTACGCAAGTCCGACTTTTGCCTTCTCCGTAAACTTAACTTGGCAACCTGATCGTGTAAGGACACAATCGTGAAACCGATGTGAGGAAACGGGGGACTGCTGCTGATCTGAGGCTTGTGGTGTTACTGTGCGTTCCGACGAGCTTGCCGGTGTAATATGTATAGGATATTGACCAAGACGAGGTCTATATGGGAAATATAGGCCGAGTAAAAGACCGAGGTCCGCCGAGGTCTTTTACGAGGCCTATATTTCCCATATAGACCTCGTCTTGGTCAATATCCTATTTATCACGATTCCTTTGCCATAACCCCAAAATTTGAACGTTTAGGAGCAATTTTAACCTTTTTAGTATAGCATTTGTACTATAGTGTACATAGGATGTTGCCTATTTTGGGTACAAGGCTGTAAGAACAACAGGGTTCAGCATCTGCAGCACAGTGGCTGGGTGGTATAAGGAGTTGCTTGAGGTTCATACTGTTGTGAGTTCGAATCCTGCTTGTTCTCTTCCTTTGTCTTCTTTCTTTCAATTTTTCTTTTTGAAGTGGAGAGAAAAATACTAAGTCCCTCCAAAGTCGAAAGATTACAATGCCTAAGTGGTCGATACAAGCGGTCGATATAAGCGGTCGATATTGCGGCGATATGGGTAATATAGGACCAGTCAAGGATCACGAGAATTAGTGGAGGTCGATATAGAAGAGTGATAAGTATATTTATAATAGGAACGTACTATACTCACTATCCGTATTTCCCGCTCCTTCACCATAGTAATGAGAGCCACTCATGCACAGGTGATGGCGGAGTGGCGGCAGGCGATGCGATGATGCTGTCAGGACACTGTGACGGGGTGGCGGTAGGTCAGGGATGGTCGAGGATTGCGCTGGCAACTTCGCGACGGGTGGTGGCACTGCAAAGCGGGGTGGTGGAGACATACGCTGCAGAGGCGAGTGGGTTGCTACTTGGTAAGGATGCAGAGTCGTGGCTCCGGCATCTGCTCCGCAGGGAGACACAAACTCACGGACGTGCTGGCGGTTGCGCAGCAGAACTCGACACCCATCCGTCACTCCTACCTGACGGCCATACTGATCCACGACCATCCACGGCCGAGTTGGATCGCAATATCCGTCTTGGACGATAACCTTGGCCCCAGGCTTCAACTTGGGAAGAGACTGCACTCCACGGCGTGAATCATGCTGATCCGCCATGGCAGCCTTTGCTTTCAACTGATGGTCTGGGTTGACAATGTGGGGTGTGATTGCTGTTGGCACGCTGGTACGTGTGGTGTGTGTAAACATGGCGGCGCTCGGAGACGTTCCCAGCATCCGGTGACGCGAGTTGTGGATATCAAACAGGACCGGATTGAGGCGTCTCTGGAATGGAAGATGGAGCTTGAGAGCTGATAACCGCTCCCTGAACACCCGATGTAACCTCTCAACCATTCCATTGGAGCGTGGGTACCTGGGGCTGGACTTGATGTAGTGGACTCCGAGACGGGCTGAGGAAAGTTGACATCTGCTCCGATGCGAACTGCGGGCCATTGTCAGAGACGAGTGTTGATGGAAGACCGAACATAGAAAAGATGTCATCCAGCTCGTCCATAACAGCAGAAGAAGTAGGTGTGCGTAGATGTCGCAGAATGGGGAAACGAGAGCCATAATCGATAATGGATAAGAGGGGTGTTACCATCGATAGTGACGAGGTCCACAGCCAGTTTCTGCCACATGCCTTCGACTTCAGACGGAATCAGCTCCTGTGAGTTGTTGGTACGGCAACGCCAAATGTTGTGAACCCTCTGGTTCTCTTTAGTATCAGGAACGAACGACCCCACATGGCACGAGGACAACTATTTATTCTCAACAGTATATTTCACTTCCATCGACTAATAACAATGAACAATGAATGAAATGACTCTGCAACTCGCACGGATTGTCCACCAGATATCCACAGCTAGGGATGTGGGGAAGCATGTTGTAACGTGTTTCTTCGATCTCAGTAAAGCCTTTGATCGTGTATGGCATCAAGGCTTGCTGAAAAAGCTGAGCCACTATGGTGTCGACGGCAAGGCTCACAATTGGCTCGAAGCCTACTTGACAGGATGCAGACAGCGGGTGCAGGTTGAAGGCACAACATCCGCCTTCATACCAATACCAGCAGGAGTGCCCCAGGGCTCGGTCCTGGGACCACTTCTGTTCCTGGCGTACACCATTGACCTGCCCACTGCCTGTGAAAATGCTACAACCTCGTGTAGCCAGTTCGCGGACGACACCGCACTAATTGCCATTGCAGGCAGCTACATTGAGTGTGAGGCTGCGCTACATAGAAGCGTCGATGCCGCAGCAGAATGGCTAGAGCGCTGGCACCTGCTAGTCAATAAAACGAAAACCGTCATCCTCCCGTTCTACCATGCTAACCGACCCCCACCACGACTACCCGAAATAAAACTTGGCCAAACCCTATTAGAAACAGTAACACAACATCGTCACCTCGGCATCATCTTTCAGTACGACCTAAGATGGTCAGCCCACCTTGACTTTGTGCTGAAGAAAGCCGTAAAATCTTTTAATATTCTCTTTAGGCTCAAATCAACTCTACACACTAAATCACTCTCTCTCATTTACAAAACGCATATCCTGCCTATAATTGAATATGCATGCATTGCTGTCACCCCGCTCTCAATCGCAGCCCTTGACCGTCTTGAGCGAATCCAGCACAAGGCGGCCAGAATCTGCCTCCGTCTCCCCCTTTACACTCCTCTGGATCATTCAACACTGCTCCATCGGCTCAAATGGCCGACAATGTTCTCTCGCCGCAAAGTGAAGCTCACCCTTCTTGCTCACTCCATAAAATACCAAAATGCCCCACAACACATACGCTTGCTCAACACCCCCGCTCAAGTTACGGCCCAGTACAGCCTTCGACACGCACGCACTTGGCACCCCCACCCGCCAGAACCGATCGCTGTAAAGACTCCCCACTGTACAAGTCCCTAGAATACTACAATGCCCTCCCTGCTAGCATTCGTGACGTCTCCTCCCGACCTGCTTTCAAACAAGAAATCTGCTCACTGCTGATTAACTCAATCTGCTCCTGCAGCGCTCACCCTCTCCCATACTTGTAAAGTTCAAAGTGATGTAAATCACTTTCCAACTGTTTAACCCACAATCTCACCTTCTCATCAATTTATCTCTTATTGGCGATGGTGCCATCGTGAGAATAAAGAATTCAAAGAGACTAACACTAAAACCACCAGGTAGTTATAGCGTGAAAATGACAGCGTATAATTTATGAGAAAAGCATACACATGCAACATACAACTACAGCGCACCCAGCAAATCGCACATAGTGCCTGTAGCGTATACCACGTCGTAAACATCAGCGGTACGGTGGAGTCGGGATACAACTGCATTGAAGCGAACACAATGTCACAAGCGAGAAGGCCTTTCACTCTCGAGAACTTGTGGTTTCACAACATTCTCCCCACCAAAGGGCTTCTCACCGCCGTACAACAACTCACAAGTCTAAAAACGACCGGGGCTCTGACTACACGCCC